AGATTGTGAGTGAAATGCCATCCAGTAAATAGAACAGATGAAAACTGGAAGATAGATATCACATAATCAAGAAAAATTCCACCCACATATATATTGGGTAAAACACCGCTTATATTTATATATATTGTGAGTGATGCATTAAGATGCCTTAGACATTGAACAGGTTTGACAGAGCATCCTAGAAACACCAGTGGAGCTAATAATAAGAATAGATACCACATTTACCTTGATAAAAGCACAGATGAAAGTTAAAGAAAAAGCATACAGACCATGAATTACAATCATGTCTAAATTAATATTGCCTAAACAGGTATGATTAATATAACTACAGAGTAAATGAAACACACCAATGTGCAACCAAAACAGAAACAATATGATTATTTGAGCTTTGAAAAGAAGTCTGTAAAACAAGAAAGAATAACTTTTTTTTCTAGAAAGACTAGTTTCAATAATTTTGTCTAGATACAGATATGCACTAATACAAGTTATTGCGCAATATACTTACTCATCTTTTCCAGTTTCTCAATCTGCTCCAGTATAGCCTCTGGATCCTTTTTCAAAATCCCAACCTCTCGTACTTTCTTCCTTTCTTTTTTATTCTGGCAAGTAAAAAAGGTGATGGGAATTTAGAATGTGAGGACAGAACAAACTAATTGGTATCTACCGTATTTATATCAGCAACCATAAAAGAAATAGAACTTAACAAGAGTACAAGATTAAAGAAAATCTGTAAAAGGCTAGATTGGTTTGCTACACTTACCGAAATTTGGTAATACCGAAATTTTGGCAAGGTAGCAAAAACCAAACACTCCAACAAAACCTTCTTCCACAAAAATGTTGGCAATGCCCATATATGTGCCTCATAATAGCCCAATTTTAGCACCAAATCAAACCTCTTAGCCATTCTACACTACCGAAATGTGGCAATACCAAGATTTTGGCAAGGTACAGAACCAAACCAACCCTAATATACAAGCAGTCATACAGATAGTGGGTACACGTGCAACAATCATGGTTGTCAAGTCGTAAAGTCAAGTCGAGGTACCCCTGGACCGACTTGTCGACTAGTTGACAACTTGTCCAGTTGTCCATGACTTGGTCATGCAAAAACAGGGGATGCAATATATAGTATAAACTATGGACTATGGAGTAGCAAAGCAAGACAATAAGTCAACAAGAAATAAAACAAAAGTACTAAACACAATAAGCCAATTAGCATGGTGAATTAGTGATTTGCTACGACTAATTTACAACCAACTTTACGACTAATCTATGACTAACCGACTTCACGACTAATGCTATTTTGTCGAGTTGTGGCTCTCTAGTCGACTAGCTTGACCGATTTTACGACTAATCGCGACTAGTCGGGTGACTTGATAACAGTGACAACAGTTGCCACATTTCTAGATAAAATGGCATGTTATAACATTATATCAATGTGCATATGAAGATACTCCTGGTCTCCTGCTCAGCAGCATAGAGCAATTGCAGTAAAGTAGCTGATCAATATAGTCACTAGGTTGCTCAAGTACAGGGGAAAAAATATCATGGGCACTCCACAAAATTTTCCAGCTAACCAGGAGAATCAGCAAAATTATGACGCAATATAATTGGTATTTGCAGTTGTAAATGCAAGAGGAAAAAGTTCCATTGGTAATTTGGTTCCATTGGTAATTTGGTACTATTTGCAGTTGTAAATGCAAGAGGGAAAAGTTCCATAAACCAAAAATCTGTTTTCATCCCAATTACACCTGAACACCTAATATTATTCAAACCCGCTACATATAGGGCTAGGTGAAAAGAAAATCACGAATCCAACAATCTACAATGCAGGCTGCCAAGCGAATCAATTTACTTGCAGTACGCACCATTTACACCACCATGGATATTCAAGTAATTGCTTAGATTATCAGTTGCATTGAAACTCTTAAACCGCAATATCTTAGTGATGCCCATGGAAATATGCTTAATTGCTTATTGCATGAAAAAAAAATCCCACATTGGAACTGAATCAAAACCACCATATTTCGCGTAGAACCGATCGCACGAATTAATTTACGATGTTTTCCTACCTCAGATATAGCCCAAATCGACGAAAGAACAGTAAACCTGACGAATCAAATCACCAGGCGCATAGCAGTCAACGAAGCATGAGGAACATCACAACGCGCCTCTGCCCAAGGCCAAATTCCACTACCCCCCCCCCCCACACGGACCCGGACCCGCGCGCGCGGGGTGATAGCATGATACGAACCCTAGGGTTTGAGAGGAGGAACTCACCCGCTTGAGCTCCTTCTTCCGCTGCTCCTTGCGGAAGGCGTCGGTGGGGTTCATGACCTTCCCTCCCTTGGTCGTCTTCATCCTGCCCCACCTACCCTCCTCCCCTTCTCCCCCACCGGCGACGTACGGCGGCGAGCGGCGAGCGGCGGCGGCGGCGGATTTAGCCGCGGGGGGAGAGAGAGGAGATGGGGTTCGGGTCGGAGTCGGACCGGAGTGGTGTGGTCTGGTCCCCTTGGCGAGTCGCGAGTGGAAGCGGGTGGGTCACAGAGACGAGTGGGTCGGTTTGGTTACCGCCGTGCAGCCGGCCCAGGCACGATACTGCCCGTTTACGCGAGCAAGGCCCAGTCGGTCCACCTAATTCTTCCCAATTTTTCTAGGAAAAAGTACACCGAAGGTCCCTCAACTTGTCATCAAATTACAAAATCGTTCTCCATCCACAAAACCAGATATAGGGCATCCATCAACTTACAGAACTGTTCATTTTAGGTCCTTTGGTGGTTTTGACCCCGTTTTGTCCGACGTGGCGGCTGAGTCAGCATGAAATCCATGTGGGGCCCACCTGTCAGACTGTCCACGTCATCACCTCTTTCTTTCCACTGTTTTCTCACCTCCACCTCTCTCTCACACTCTTCATCTCATTCGGGCAGGGCGGCGGCAGGTGGGGAGGAGGCGGGGCGAGGCAGGAGAGGAGGTGCTGCATCCGGCGGCGGAGACGCGGGATAAGGGGAGGGCGGCGGCGACGGGAGAATGGGAAGGCCCAGCTGCCCGTCTGCCTTGACGCCGCGGTGGCACGCCGTCGTGGTTGCGGGAGAGGCGTCGACGACGAGGAACGGCGCGGCGTGACACAGGGCCGGAAGCGAGCATGGTGGTGGGAGGAGGAGGGCGGCGGCCGTCGAGCTACCAGGATGACAGCCATCGCGCCACAGTGGGATCCGGTGGGGACGAGGGGGACACCGACGCCGACGCCGACGAGGAGGAGAGGATCCCGTCAGGAGGAGCAGACTTGGGCGAATGGTATACGGTGCAAAAGCGGTGGAGGTGGCGGTGGAGTAGGGGAAGGTGCGGGCAAGCGTGGCGGCATTTACCCTACGGGGCGGGAGAGGTTGAGCTTGGACTCGTCTCTACTGCGCTTCTTGCAGCGGCGGTTTCTGGCGTCAACGGCATCATCGTCTGAGTCTGAATCGTAAACAGTGTTCTAGAGAAATAGATGTTATCTAGATTCTGTCATCAAATACTCCAGCTTTATGTGATTTGGTATGGATATCTAAGATCAATTAAGTTTAGATGGAGAGTTTGCTCGTTCTGTGATAGGGCAATTTCATGACATTTCAATATCGTCCATGGCAGCTTCGCCCATTGATGTGGGCAGGAGAGGTTCCCTGCCCTCTCAGCCACTCTAGAGCGTTGTAAATGCTCTGACTTGAAGAAGCTTTTCAGAAGAAAAGGGGGTTGATCTGAAGAGGACTGAACGAGTCGAAGTGGTAGAGCTGCTTTCTTCTGAACAATTTTGTTCTTGTTCTCTTTTTGGGTGAAGCCAACCCAAGCTAAGCTAGCTGCCGCCTACACAAGCCAACGCTACCATGGGCAACCGGATAGCCTGATGAACAGATAATAGAGACAAAGGGCATGTTTAGATCCCACAAATTTTTTTACCATATCACATCGAATGTTTGGATACATGCATAGAATATTAATTATAGACAAAAAAAAAAGAAAGAAAAACTAATTACACAAATTACATGTAAATTGCGAGACGAATCTTTTAATCCTAATTGCTCCATGATCTGATAATGTGGCGCTACAGTAAATATTTGCTAATGGTGGATTAATTATGCTTAATAAATTCATCTCGCAGTTTACAGACGGAATTATTAGTCTATCTATGTTTAATACTTCAAATGTGTGTCCGTATATCCAATGTGAGATATGTTAGAACTTTTCATCCCTAGATCTAACCACAGCCAAACATGCTGCAAAGTTCAGTTCGATCGACTGGCTGAGCTGTGATGGATGCACACAAGAGCAGAGATTCCTTGCAGCATTTCACAGACTTGATGATCTGAAATTTCAGGCATAAATATTGTCCTTTATTTACTGGATGCCATTAACTTTTCAACGAATCCTTGAAGATGCTAATGGCAATGTGGCATAGCAAGGCTTAGGTAAAATCATTGTCACAACTCACGACTCAAGCAAATTTAAGAGAATTTTAACATACTTTTTTTTTGAATAATTGAGGTATGTGATTTAATTCGTTGGAAGGGAATTATGCTACAACTGCATCTGCAAACAAATGAAAGCTTATATGGATTAAACTTATCTAATCTTAGATGTGGCAAAACCGTGACGAAGTATGGCCATACCAAATGGTCTGGGATCTTTACACCTCTACATATCCTATCCAAGACATATTTTAAAAATAGAAAATGGCTTGTTTGAACCTGAAAAAAAGGTAGTACCAGTTTAAACAAACTGGAATAAATCCCAGAATCTTTGTTCTAAAGAACAAAAAAACAGCCACCATGCTACCATGAATCTTGCTCTAAACAACAAAAAATAGCTGCCCAGTACAAAATCTTTGTGAGGGCTGTTTCTCAATCCCATGGAACAATGGGGATATGATCAAGGACAATAATCCTCTGTCTCCAACAACATGCCAGTGACTCATGATTATCAGTACACACAAGAATCAAAATTATCTTGTCAGAACAAAAAAAATCTTAAGTACAGACTAGTACAGAAGAAAAGCCTCTCTTCTTCATCACACTGACAGCTGGGACCACCACTGGGCCCACATCCTGACAGCTCCGAGTACTACAAGTTCACACAGGGTCAGTCACACAGTTAACGCACTTGGCAGCAAGGTCAGGCGAGGCGAGCTTGCAATGCCGGCGGCGAGGAGGATGAGGCGCGCGGCGGCGGCGGCGGGGGTGGTGGAGAGATTCGCCGGGATGGGGTCGGCGCTCGCCGGCGTGATGTTCGTGTGGAGCATGCTGAGCCCGCTCCTGCCGCGGCAGCTGTTCGAGCACTTCGTCGGCCGCTTCCTCCGGCGGCACGCGCGGCGGCTCGCCGGGCTCGTGGACCCCTACCTCACCGTCACCATCAGCGAGCACTGCGGCGAGAGGATGAAGCTCGGGGACGTCTACGAGCAGGCCAAGGCGTACCTCAGCCACCGGTGCGCGCGCCGGGCGCGGTCGCTGCGCGCGGAGCGCGCCGCCCGCGACGGCGGCGGCGACAGGTTCCTGCTCACCATGGGCGACGGCGAGGAGGTCTACGACGTGTTCCAGGGCGCCACCGTGTGGTGGAACTCCGTCTCCTCCGGCGGCGGGCGGCGCTACGAGTCTCCCTGGTTCGGCGGCGGCGGCGTCGTCTACGACGACGACCGCCGCGCGTACCGGCTCCTGTTCCACCGGCGCCACCGCGACCTCGTCGTCGACTCCTACCTCCCGCACGTCTGCCGCGAGGGCCGCGCCATCATGCTCCGCAACCGCCGCCGCAAGCTGTTCACCAACGCCGGCGGCGACCGGTACAGGAAGTCGGCGTGGAGCTACGTGGCGTTCGAGCACCCGTCGACGTTCGACACGCTCGCCATGGACCCGGCCAAGAAGAAGGACATCATGGACGACCTCGACGCGTTCCGGGACGGGAAGGACTACTACGCCCGCATCGGCAAGGCGTGGAAGCGCGGCTACCTCCTGCACGGCCCGCCCGGCACCGGCAAGTCCACCATGATCGCCGCCATGGCCAACTACCTCGACTACGACATCTACGACGTCGAGCTCACGTCCGTGGCCACCAACACCGACCTCCGCCGCCTCTTCATCGAGACCAAGGGCAAGTCCATCATCGTCATCGAGGACATCGACTGCTCCGTCGACCTCACCGGCAAGCGCAAGAAGAGGTCTCCTCACGCCGCCGCCGCCGCCGCCGAGCCCGTCGACGCCGCCAAGGACGAGAGCGCGAGCAAGGTGACGCTCTCCGGCCTCCTCAACGTCATCGACGGGCTCTGGTCGGCGTGCGGCGGCGAGCGCATCGTCGTGTTCACCACCAACCACGTCGGCAAGCTGGACCCGGCGCTGATCCGGCGAGGCCGCATGGACAAGCACATCGAGATGTCATACTGCTGCTTCGAGACGTTCAAGATCCTGGCCAAGAACTACCTCGCCATCGACGCCCACCACCTGTTCGACGACGTGCGATCGCTCCTCCAGGACGCCAGGATCAAGATCACCCCGGCCGACGTCGCCGAGCACCTGATGCGCAAGTGCGCCACAGCCGCCGCCGACGAGGCTGCCGCCTGCCTCGCCAGCTTGGTGAAGGCGCTGGAGAAGAAGGCCAAGGGGAAGGAGACAGTGGAGGAGGAGGAGACAGTGGTGGATGAGTAGCTTAGCTTAACTGCAGAATTATCAGGTTAATTAATAACAAATTTAGCTCTATCATCTGCATCAAGAAAGTAGAATTGTGTTCAGCTCTGCTGTTAGTTTGCTACCAACTTAGGAGATGATTAGTTGTTAATCTTGTTATGATTACAATGCATCACAAGATTAACAATGAACTGATGTTGTTGTCAACTCAATTCGAATGGATTGGAATATTGGATGATCACAGCCTCACAGGTTGTGTTTGAGGCTGAAAATTTGACTGCTTGATGCACCCAGCTTTCAAGGAAAGTACGGTTTCAAGCAGAGTTTGAAAAGCAAAAGCTGCTGCTTTCTTGTCAGGCTGATGCAACACAAAACGAATCTAGGAGTACCATACTGCGGATAAGGATTGGGATTTGGGAATGCCCTTGGTACATTTATAGCAATGAAATGGCATTGAGTAATTCTTGACATGAAGAGAACCATGGCCACTTCCTTTTTTAAAAAAAAATAAAAATATACTAGACAATCACAAGGAACTTAGGCCCCGTTTGTTATTCAACTACAAACATTAACTTCTTTATTTTCCGTTAACACATTTTTAAAATGTTAATTGATGAGTTTTTTTAAAAAGAAAATCTATATAGAAGTTGTTTTTTAAATCAAATAAATCTATTTTTCAAGTTTATAATAGCTAGCGCTATGTTAACATGTGCTAATGAGTTTTCTCGTTTCACGTGCACTGAAAATCTTTCAGCCCCATCGGATGGCCTATTCAGCCAAAGAAAAAGCCAAAATTTAAATTTTCAAACTTAATTTTGACATTGATTTTGAGATATTTTCAACGTAATTTCTTTTTCAGCATTGGCTTTTTAAGTCACCGAGAACACATCTATAAAAGTTTTACCTACAAATTTATTTTTATTCTCTAATAAGCCGTTTTGGCTTATTACGAAAAAAGCCAAACAATGATGCTCTTTCTCAAAACACTGGTAACGGACATACCCTAGTGTCGAATAATTAAGAAAAATATGTGAGGTTATTAAGAATCAAACATGAGATCTCGGGGACTTGGGTTAAAACCACACACTCCTACCATTACACTAGCAAATGCAACTCCTCGTAATACTTTCGGTGTTGGTAGGCAATAATTGATCATTGCCAAAAATTTTTGGCAAAAACCGGCTAGACCTTTATTTGGTTCTATACTAAAGTTGCATTTTGGCATTGAACTATGCCAAATAATTAGACAATGGTAATATTTTAGCTAAAACCAAGTAGATGACTATTTTTTGTCATCAGCATTTTTTTTTGCCTTGGTTTAGTTTGGTTATGAAATAAACATAGTGTTTTTTCTTGCCAATTTATAGTACCTCTTAGTAACTTCATGACTATCGCAAATTATCACTCAAAATTTTTGGTACTTCTCACATCTCTTATCGCTAATTAGTCCATGATTAGTCATAAGTGCTACAGTAACCCACATGTGCAAATGACGGATTAATTAGGCTCAAAAGCTTCGTCTCGCAGTTTCCAGGCGAGTTATGAAATTAGTTTTTTCATTCGTGTCCGAAAACCCCTTCCGACATCCGGTCAAACGTCCGATGTGACACCCAAAAATTTTCTTTTCGCGAACTAAACAGGCCCTGAGCCTTTGCATTGCATCTGGATTTGTGTCTTGGCACATCTCCATGACAAGGTCTAGGGTCAAAGATCCATCCAGGCCCATCTTAAATTGGAGGAAGGGGTGACAATGTGCAAGCATGCATTGCATGTGATTGTTTGCAAGTTCCTTTTCTTTTCCTGTTTTTCTGCAGGAGATGCTGTCCTTTGAAGAGCAGTATGGTTGGGATCAAGTTCAGGCCTTCAATCTCCCTCTCAAATGTATGATGTCTGGACTATGACAATTCGGTTTCAACTGGAATCCAGGGGAAATAAAACCGCATGCTATAGGCCCTGTTTAGTTCCAAAGTTTTTTTTTTCCAAACTTCCAACTTTTCATCACATCAAACCTTTCATACACACGCAACTTTTCTATCACATCGTACCAATTTCAACCAAACTTTCAAACTTCGGTGTGAACTAAACACGACCAAACGTAAAGTATTTGAAACTTGTCCAATCAAGCCATAACCTGAAACAGAAGGGGGCAGCTTGGAACTTAGGAGTTTCACGAGAAATAGTTCAATCGTCGCATAATCTAGGAAAATTTACATTGTTTCAAATAAGGAAGAAACCACCGCTGAATCATACACATCTGAATAGAAGCACTCCTATACAAAATTTGTTCAAGGCTTGTTTGGTTCAATACACTACCAAAATATTGGTAGTGCCAAAATCTAGACAAACTTTGGCACTACAAATTCTTTGGCAGGGTAAAGTAGCATTTGGTTTTATGCCAATAAGAAATCGAAACCTTGATTATAATCTAGAAAGTACCAAGTTAGACATTGGCAATGCCAATAATTTGACTTCAAACCAAAACCAACTGACATGTCTACTATTTAAGCTACCAAAATATTGGTAGGGTATATTTTGACTTCAATCCAAAAGGCCCTCAGTTTCTTCAATACCTTCAGCTTAGATGCTGACACCAGTCAATTGGACATCTTGACAAGAATCTTTTCACCAATCTCATGTCAATTCTGGAAAACCTAACTGAAAATTTGAAGTCCATGATGCAGATTTCCTTTTTATCATTGAATTCTTCACTTTCCAATTTCTTGTTAGTTCTCCGTTTGTTTCGGTTTTCAGGATTTTTTACATTTCTGGCAACGTATTTGTCAATCTGCCGATATGCTTTTACAACTACCGGCCAAATTACCTTTTACAACTTCACATCCTTGTTGCTCTGTCATGCATGATAAAGACATAAAGTAGACTGGAAATTAATTTCTTCGTTAAGGACTAAAGTGTTGTACGCTGAAGAAGAACCTGTAGATTAAGTTGCGTTTCACCGGTATTAGATGTCCTTACAATGGGCAGTTGATAGCTGTCGGTAGAAAAATGGAATGTATCACATCATTGTAAAAGTATCGTACAAAGAATTACAGGATACGGTGGGTAGAAATTTGATGTTTTTGCCCAATTGTATTTTGTTTTTCATGCTCCGAATTTCGATATCTTGTTCTTCCATTTGAATTTTGCCTTTTCCACTTTAAGTTCTGATATTTCTCCTTCCCACTTGAAATTTATTTTTGCACAAGGAAATTGGTCCTCACCTAAACGGCCTAAATGGCAAAAATAACTTCGAAATAATAAAATATTTTCCCTTATAAAAAATGCAAAATCTTCATAATTTATATCAAATTTGGCCAGTGTTCTCTTTCATATCTGACACGGACTTTGAATACAACATGTACATAACATGCAAAATTTTATGATCCTTAATAAAGTACCTTGAGATACCTAAATTTTACATTAATTATTTTTTACCAAAATTTACGTACTTATCAAGGATGGTAAAATTATCCAAATAGCATCAGTAAAAGGACAGAAAATTCACAACAATTTCATTATTTCAAGATTGCTTTCTGTCATATTTATATATCCTTACATGAGTGCACAACAAGCACAAAGACATGGTAATCTCATCAGATTCAGCACACAAATGCTCACTGTCCTTGTAGTAAACAGTGATATAATTCAGATCAGTGACAAGTGGGACAATTTCAAAATCGAAAACTCACAAATGAAATTTTGCAATGTCAAAAGTACACACTCAAGTAAACTATTGCCAAACTCCGAACTTTCTAAAAAAAGAACAATTTTACGGTCCTTAAGAAGATACCATGAGGTATCGTAAAATTGCTCTTCTAAAAATGCTCGGAACCGGGTTCTACAATTGGTCATCTGCTTCTATAAACTTCCAGCACATGAAAAAAAAAGGATCAACTCAATCATCCCTACTAATTAGATTCATCTTAGTATCTTACATTTGAATTTACAGGAAATGAACCAAACACCAGCTACATTTAAATTTCGTTTCGAAGTTCGAACAGCTACACATCAGTCAGTGCAACAGTATCAGTTTTCGCAGAGAATTGACCGTTGATTCTTTGTATCTTCTTGTGCATTTTGAGTTCTTAGCTTGAATCAATCGTCGTCGTAGTCGTCGTCGTCAGTGTAATCATCCGAATAATGGTCGTCGTCTTCCTCCGAGTCGTCGTCAGCCATTGCCTTGGCTTCCGCCTCCGCCTCCGCCCTCGCCTTCGCTTCGGCCACCGCCTTGGCGTTCTCCATTGCTCTCTTGTTGAGCTCGTCGACCAAGAACTCGAGGGAGGAGGTCACGTCGGAGTCGGAGGAGCGCTTGGCCGCCATGAGGCACTCGGCGACGTCGGCCGGCGTGATGTCCTCCTTGTCCAGTATGTCGTCCACGGCGTCGAACAGGTGGTGGGCGTCGACGTCGAGGTAGTTCTTGGCCAGCGTCCTGAACGCGGCGGCGCGGCAGTAGGACATCTCGATGTGCATGTCCATGCGGCCGCGGCGGATGAGCGCCGGGTCCAGCTTCTCGACGTGGTTGGTGGTGAACACGACGACGCGCTCGCCGCCGCTCGCCGACCAGAGCCCGTCGATGAAGTTGAGCAGGCCGGAGAGGGTGACCATGCTGCCGCCGCCGCGGATCTCGCCGGGACGCCGCGTGGCGCGGTCTCCGGTGAGGTCGAGGGAGCAGTCGATGTCCTCGATGACGACGATGGACTTGCTCGTCGTCTCGATCAGCAGCTTGCGGAGGTCGTTGTTGTCGCTCACCATGGTGAGCTCGACGTCGTAGATGTCGTAGTCGAGGTAGTTGGCCATGGAGGCGATCATGGTGGACTTGCCGGTGCCGGGCGGGCCGTGCAGGAGGTACCCCCTCTTCCACGGCTTGCCGGCGCGGCGGTAGAACTCCCCGCTTCGCCGGAACGCGTCGAGGTCGTCCATGATCGCCGCCTTCTTGGCCGGCTCCATGGCCAGCGTCTCGAACGTGGTCGGGTGGTCGAAGTTGACGTAGCTCCACGCCTTGTGGTAGACGCTGCTGTAGCTGAGGCTCTTGTTGTTGGTGTAGAGGCGGCGGCGGCGGTTGTGGAAGAGGAGCTCGCGGCCGCGGCGGCGGACGTGGGGGAGGTACTCGTCGACGACGAGCCGCCGGTGGAGCTGGTGGAACGTGAGCCGCTGGCTGCGCCGCCGCGCGCCGCCGCCCTGCTGCTCCTCGTCCACCGACGACCACCACATGGTGGCGCCGCGGAACTCGTCGGCGACGTCCTGCCCGTCGCGCATGCTGACGACGAGGCCGCGGCCCTCCGCCGCGGCCTCGGCGCGGAGCTCGCGGGCCTCCGACGAGCACGCGGCGCTCAGGTACGCCTTCACCTCCTCGTACGCGTTGTCGCCGGCGCGGCGGCCGCCGAGCCTGGAGCGGTGGTGGTAGTACTGCTGGTGCGCGTCGGCGGCGCCGGGGTCGGGGATGTCGACGGTGACGTAGGGGTCGACGGCGGCGAGCAGGCGGCGCGCCCGGCGGCGGAGGACGAGGTTGAAGTAGGTCAGGAGCAGCCGCCGCGGCGCGTACGCGGCGAGCAGCGGCGCGATGAGGAACCACACCGGGCCGAGGTTGGACAGCAGCGCGCCCAGGCTGGCGAACGTCCAGCGCCGCCACCGCACGACCCTGCAGCCGCCGGCGGTGGCGGTGGCGGCGGCGGCGGTCTCCGCCGCCGTGGCAGCCATGGCGGGCGGCGGCTGCTGCGGTTTTTTCTTGGTCGAACACCTGCGTATGCCACGCAGCGCACGCGTTCCGGATTTATGGTGCGGATGAATTATTCATGGTCTCATGGATCAGCCGAGTTCATGGCGAACTTGAAGTTCTTGACCGTGTAGGATACGGATTTACGAAGTATTACTACGTATGATTTTCTATGGAAATTTACAGGATGCTAATATGCTATCCGACTCGGATAATCCGAGAGCTTACTTCATGTCTCTTATTATTGACAAAAACATGTGGGGAAAAAAAGAAGAATTGATATTCCTTGTAAAAAAAGATAAATATTTGCTCATGTAAAAGTGAAATTTTGACATACTATTTAACAGGACTGAAGAATAAGGGATTATGCCAATTTTATCAAACATCAAAGTACTAGCGATATAAGACATTACCTTAGTTATACTTTTGACATATTTAACAGGACTTGAAGTGTAAAATGTGAAAGGTTGAGGGATTGAATGGCAGCTTAAGTGATGTTTGTTGTAATTATTTTTTCCCTAACATATTCGTTGTTAGTATCTGCGTTGTACTGTGTAATTTTCGAAAAAAAAATCCTTTATGTTTATGGATGGAGGTAGATGACCATATTTCCTTATAGAACTTCCATTGAAAGAAAAAGGGGTAAAAACCACCTTAAAAGGGTAAAAATCTATGCAACAATCGCCGAATCGCGCTTAAGGGAAACGGATAGAGATGCAAAATGAGGCACATAGAGAGCCAACCTTCGAAAGTAGAAAGTACTAATAGTTTTTTTTTGTCACTTGAGAGGACATACATCATGAATGATAAAAGTTATTCATTATTTTTAAAGAAAAGTGAAAATATAAATCAATATATGATATACTATTAAAAACATGTAAATTAAACTTCGACTTATAGAGTAGAAATAAAAATAACAAATATCAACCTTGAATAGCAAGAACTTTTGCCAATTTACCTAGCTCACTATCTGCAATATCATTCTTTTTTATCTCGTAGTAGACTTTATCACTGGCACACTCACAACTAGAAATCATTCGCAAAATTCATAAAATCTTGATCAGTGCTATTTTAGTCCTATAGTAATTAAGCATTTGTACACATGAAAGAGTATCAATTCACGTATCTCTTGAATTAGTGCCATATTTTTCTTTCCCACGGGCAAAGGAGCCCAAATTTGGTGCCAATCTGCCTACATTACCAATTCTTATCTCCTCGGACAGCTTATTATTAATCCTAAGCAAATTTCATAAATCTTGATTGTTATTCTTTTACTTTGATTCTAATTAAGCATCTGTCATCTGTGCATATGCCTCGTTGGTAGTCACTGTTTCTTTTTTTTTATCATCTGTAATTCTACATTTGTTTCCCACTAGGTGTATCTGATGATTATTCCTCTCGTGTCATACGGGCTCATTAGTTAATTTGGTTGTTCATTTAACACATCGAAGATTTGGCAAGGAATTAGCTAGCTCATTCATGTTATTTCACTTTACTTCCCGATAGCACTAAAATGATTAGTACGTGAACCACACCAAACTGTTGTAAGTACTGACTCATGAATCTCTAATCACCCATTTAGAAAACTTCCAATATAATGTATTTAAGTAAAGATATCATATATATATATCAATTATCAAATAAAATAATGACATATATATCCTGCATCGCAGCAAGCACGAGGTTTTAAGTTTTAATTTACCGACCATCGATACCATATCAACGTGAAGTTTTTGGCGTATCCGTCGATTGTAAAGAAACTTCAACATAATCAACATGCTTAGTCACTTCATCAGTTTTTTGAGTCACATTATATTTAAAAATCTGTAATCTGTGGTGCATGTACATCAGCAAGCATAAATACAGTACAACTCTCATTGTTTGATTGTGGCAGTGGATTTGAATATTTGATAGAACTTGAGAAATGGATAAAATGAGTGGATGAACTTTTAGGTTTGAGAGCGCCTTCTCTTTGCGTTACTAGATTGCACAGTCAGCAATGCGGCAGCCTTGACTCCGGGGTCTCGTTCTGAAAATTAAATGCATCCGGTTTGACTGTCTAGAAAAGAATGTACGTGATTTGACTGTCTGAAATTACGATGAATTTTGGAGGTTTCTCGAACATGCTCATAGAGCTAGAGTATAGACGGTTTTCACATGGATAAGTATGCACGTGTATATTAGCATTTGTGTTTGTTCCGTATTTCGAAGACAAAATACACTGGATACATCTTCCCAGATTGACACCAGGATGGCATGATATAGACGACTGATCAACTACAATGCCAAGGATAGCCAAACAACTATTTCTGTCAGCTGTGTTTCAGAGACCTTGAGACCGCCCAACACCTATTTAAAGAATGTCCTTTTGTGCAACAGATTCGGAGCCAGATTAGGCCACGGTGCTTCCAACACTACTCGAATGGTGGCGCAACCAAACAGGCAATGCAGAGAAAATACAGAAAAAAGGGCTATGCTCCGCTTTCCTGACTGTGCATTGGGAAATTTGGATGGAAAGAAATAACCGTATCTTCCGAAGCACGGAGTCAACGCCGCCGGCGATTGCAGGCAAGATTGTCGACGAGCTGCAGCTATGGGGAATGGCAGGCGCCAAAGGAGTACAGAATGTAATATCGCGAGAGTAGTTCTTATTTTCTTCTTAATGTAGGTGGGAAGTGCTTTTCAAGTACTACACCGCACCCCCTTACAGTTTTTCTCTCTCTATAATATAAAACCAACTTTGCTGGTTCTTTCAAAATCTTTCCCAGATTATAATCTCTCGATATAACTTCTGATTGAATGACATGCAATGGTAGTATTATACTAGGAGTAGTTGCTAAGCAATTTCGCCCAAGAATATCACTTAAAAATCTAGGGAGACCAGCTATATAACAAGTCAAGACAAGACACGCCTTTTGTCCTAAGACATGATCAGCAACAAACAAAACCAAAACAAGCACAAAAATTTCTGAAAGATAATCTTGCTTGATCAAGAGTTAGATCAAAAGACTGATTTGCGTGTACTTTGTAGAAATTGACAAACCAGTAGAACAAAATACAAAATTTTGATTGAGTTTGCATCATAGCTATTCAATGATCAGTAGAACAAAATACCAAAAAAAAATGATTGAGTTTAACATGTCAATACAGGACAAGCTAAAATGCACGGACATCAGCAACAAACAAGAACTAAGAACAAGCACAAAAATTTCTGAAAGATCTTGCTTGATCAAGAGTTAGATCAAGTCATCAAAAGACTGATTTGCCTGTACATTGTAGAATTGACAAATTAGTAGAACAAAATACAAAATATATTTTGATTAGTTTTCATCATAACTACGCGATGATTCTGAATTATTCGGTGAATTGTCCTGTATCAGCAGAAGATTCTTCTTGGCTATCTTCTTCTTCTTCTTCTTCTTCTTCTTCTTCTTCTTCTTCCTCCTCCTTGGTTGCGTTTGGCTTCGCCGTCGCCGTCGTCGCCGCTGCCGCCGCCGCGGCTGCGGCTGCGTCCACCACTGCCTTGGCTTTGGCCAAAGCCTTCTCCTTCGCCTTCTCCTCGAACTCCGCCATGGCCTTCGCCTCGGCCTCCTCTCTCGCCTTCGCCTCGGCCTCCTCCTTTGCCCTCTCCTCCGCCCTCTTCTTGAGCTCGTCGACGCAGATCTCGAGGCAGGAGGTGTCGTCGGAGCCGGAGCGCCTGGCCGTCATGAGGCACTCGGCGACGTCGGCCGGCGTGAGGTTGACATCCCGGAGGAGCTCCTCGACGGCGTCGAACAGGTGGTGGGCGTCGACGTCGAGGTAGTTCTTGGCGAGCGTCTTGAACGCCTCGAAGCCGCAGTAGGACATCTCGATGTGCATGTCCATGCGGCCGCGGCGGATGAGCGCCGGATCGAGCTTGTCGAGGTGGTTGGTGGTGAACACGACGATGCGCTCGCCGCCGCACGCCGACCAGAGCCCGTCGATGAAGTTGAGGAGGCCGGAGAGGGTGACGTCGCTGGAGCGGCGGTCGTGGCCGTCCCTGTACGACGGCGGCGGCCGCGACCGCCGCGCGGCGCGGTCGCCGGTGATGTCGAGGGAGCAGTCGATGTCCTCGATGACGATGATGGACTTGCTCGTCGTCTCGATGAGGAGCTTGCGGAGGTTGTTGTTGTTGCCGACGACGGTGAGCTCGACGTCGTAGATGTCGTAGTCGAGGTAGTTGGCCATGGCGGCGACCATGGTGGACTTGCCGGTGCCGGGCGGGCCGTGCAGGAGGTAGCCGCGCTTCCACGGCTTGCCGGTGCGGCGGTAGAACTCCCTGCTCCGCCGGAACGCGTCGAGGTCGTCCATGATCGCCTTCTTCTTGGCCGGCTCCATGGCCAGCGTCTCGAAGGTCGTCGGGTGGTCGAAGTCGACGTAGCTCCACGCCTTCTCGTCGGAGTACGACGCGTACTCCGACATCTTGTTGTTGGTGTAGAGCCGCCGCCGCCGGCTGCTGAAGAGCACCTCGCGGCCCTCGCGGCGGACGTGGGGGAGGTACTCGTCGACGACGAGGCGGCGGTGGCGCATGTGGAACGTGAGGCGGAGGCACCGCCGCTCCGCCGCCCCCTGCGGCGGCGGCGGCGCCGCCTGCTGCTCCGCCGCCACCGACGACCACCACATCGTCGCGCCGCCGAACTCGTCGGCGACGTCCTGGCCGTCGCGCATGCTGATGACCAGCCCGTCGCCCTCCTCGGCGCCCTCGGCGTGGAGCTCGCGGGCCTCGGACGAGCACGTGGCGCTCAGGTACGCCTTCGCCTCGTCGTAGGTGGTGTCGCGGGCGTCCACGGGGTCGTACCTCGAGTAGTAGCGCGCGGCGGCGGGGCACTCGGAGATGTCGACGGTGATGTATGGGTCGACGGCGTTGAGCAGCCGCCGCGCGCGGCGGCGGAGGAAGAGGTTGAAGTAGGTGAGCAGCAGCCGCCGCGGCGCGTACGCGGCGAGGAGCGGGCCGAGGAAGAAGGAGAGCGAGCCGAAGTGGGCGAGCAGCGTGCCCATGTTGGCGAACGCCCAGCTCCGCCACCGCGCGCCGGTGGTGGTGGTCACCGCCGACGTGGCCGCCATGGCCGGGTGCTCTTCTTCTTCTTGGTCGAGTTCGTGTCGCGGCGCCGTGCCGCGCGCGCGCGCCCAGATTTATGAGGCCGCGCGCGCTGGCCGAGTTCGTGGCGAACTCGGCGTCTCTACGGAGTCGGAGTCGTGATGGTGTTAGGAAAGGCAGAGAGAAAAAAAAGAGATGGCAATTGAAAATCTAAATTACAAAGTTGAAAATTTAAAAATAATCTAGGCATGGATGGTTACTGTCAATAACTTTTAGTGAGAAAAAGTTGAAAGTGTTTTTACTGCATATATACTACTAGTACACTTGTGTAGTGGGCGGTGGAAACAATGTGTTGTGCACACATTGTTTTGCACATATTCATGAAACTCAGACATCCTAGTGTAGAACACATTATTTTGCGTACATATTCTTGCAACTCAGACACACGTTAGTGATTTAGTGTAGAACACATTATTTTGCGTACATATTCTTGCAACTGAGACACACTCAGTGTGAAGCACACTATTTATCAGACATTCTCATAGTGTAAAACACATTATTTTGTGTATATACACATTCTTGGAACTCAAACACACTCTAAACCACTAATGTATTCCCTCCGTCTCAAAAAAAAACAACCTAATACTGGATGTGATTGTTTAGATTCGTTGTATTAGGACATGTCACATCCCGTTCTAGATTCACTTTTTTTGGGACAGAGGAAGTAGAACCCGATGTTTTGCACATCTATAACCTTCCAGTTCCAATCGATTAATATCTTCAATTGTACAGCTGCTCTCCAAGGTCGTTTCAGAAGTCTGCATAGGAAAGAGTGTGTAGAACTGAATAGAAATTGTTAAATTGATCCATTCGGATGCATCTACATGCTGTCAAGCCACAGAGGCAACACGACACATCCAACATCTAGGGTATCTGAAATCTTTCCCACCAGACGTTATATGGCACCTCACAAAAATACTAAAGATAATTGAACATAAACAAAAACAAGCCACATACAAAGTATTCAAATGGAGTCTGAAGTTTTAAACCAAGATTTCCCATAATATTTTTTTTACAGAAATAAATGCAAATATTACTGAACTGGCAATGTGACGCTCAACAAGCTTAAGGAGATCCCATCCTAGGAAGCAAGAAATGTAAGAAGTTGGAATTCATGCATAGCTTTGAATCCTCGGACATGTAACAATAATCAGTGCAAGTAGTCAGAAATGCAAGGAAAATACTCACGAAACTATGTTGAGCAGATCCTGGGAGAATGCATGAGTAGACAATGGTAATGTTTTTTTCTTCCCCAGGATGACTTGCCACACAAGAAATTAATAGGATTGCATATCATGTAATAGTTCTAATACACTACGCTGAAAATGATTGTGGTTATGGGTACAAAATGGAGATTGCACAACCAATAACAAATGTTGATGAAAACATAGTGTACAAGTGACAAGATTTATCAGGACAACACGAACCTCCAATATGAGGCAAGCAAACCTATGGAACAAAACAACATATCCTAACGTAAATACTATCCCCTAGATCCAAGGTTTACCAACAAGACAAGCCCCAACATTAAGACAAACAAAGCTACAGGTAGGAAAAACACAAGGGCCAAGATCACATATCAAGTTCTCTAGGTCTGGTGTAATAACAACCAAGCCTAATAAATCCACACATAATGAATACACATCGAGCAGTCAACTTGGTGAAGAAACTAAAAATAAACATTGTACTGGCATGAAACCAAACACAACATGCTACAACCATAATAGAACAACCTCCTTTTGTTGTTGTCAGGAAGCCACTCCCTAATCATGTGAGTGTAACTTCATATTTAATGTGCTAATCACTAATTTGTTGTGATTCTTCGAAAGGCTTTAATAGTCGTGTGATTTGGTTTTAGAAGTTGGAAAGGCAAGCAACAATATTACAAGGCTGCAAGGTAGGTATAGGGAAGAGAAACAACACCAACATAGCTGATTTGCGACTAGAGGCAACGAAGCGCAAGCTAAATGATACCTACCAGGAAGCTGAAAACAGTTAGTTAATTAACTCTCTAGTCACATTTTGATATTATCATTATTGCTGGCTGCAGTGGCGTTAAACAATCTAATTGTGCCTAACCTTTCAATATATATTCATCTAAAGAAAAGAAGCAGTGTTGCAAAATGTGGATATGCATGACATCGTACCAAACTTCCAGCAAAAAAAAAGGCCACTACTACATCAACGAAGCATAGGAGGAATAGACCAAACGACAGGTTTTGTGTACCTTGATCGTGCATATGATCCATAGATTTGGATAATTTATTTTTCCTATCAAGAATAAAGTAGTATAAAAGTTAGTAGATGGGAGATTAAATTAGTATAAAAGTAGATGGTGGAGGAATAAACTAGTATAAAAGTTGGTAGGTGGAGTATGTCTTGGGATCCTAAAATCCCTTATATTTTGGGACAAATTTGATGGGAAAAGTCCCTTATATTATGTGACAGATGGAGTATTAATTATCATATCTGCTAGTCACAATTGCTTGTTACAAAAGCTCAAGCATTGGACCATTTCATCATGAATCAACTTTCCGCTTCTCACCAAATACTAGCATTGAACTTATGTTCCTGAAAAACACATTGAGCAAATAATCAACTAAGTTAACAAGGTTTGTGTCATTTACACTTTCTGACCCTAGTGGCACTTCCTCAAGCTTACAATTTTCCATCCCACCTCTGTTGCCACTACGCCACTATACCCTTTGCAATGTCACCGGCCAACCATCCCCTGATCGGCAACAATCCCTCTATCTAGAATATTTCGATGCCACCTCATGCGCTGCTTCCACCAGGCAATGTTCCAACACGCTTAGTACTCCCTCTCTCAAGCCTGAGTATTTTGAGGAAGGCTACTGATGAACCACCCATTGACTCGGGATCCAATGTCATCGCTCGAATGCTTAGGAGCGTACTCTTGGCTGGTTTTCATGAAATTTCACAAAGTTTTCAGTGCTCCAGTGTTGTTGTCAAAGGTTTTTTGGTGGATTGGTTTTGCAGGCTTGTAGCTTTATAGTATGGGGTTGTTTCACTTACACGTTTTAACAAGGGATTATTTGCGAATTTATAGACCAACAACCTAGAACACACAAGAATTCTTTCAATATTTATGGTCAAAATCAATCCACTCATATGCTCTACTCTTCGGTGGACTTCAATGGTCGTTGCTGCATATTTATTATTCATATCTCCTAGCCACAATCGCTTGCCACAAAAGCTGAAGCACTTGAGCTTTTCATCGTGAATCAACTTTCTGCTCCTCATGGATTACTAGCATTGAACTAATGTTCCCAAAACCATGTTGAGCAAAGAATCAAGCAAGTTAATGAGGTTTGTGTCATTTACACTTTTTGACCCTTTTGTGGCACTTCCTCAAGTTTGAATTTTACCACCCCACCTTTGTCGCACCTTGGCCAACTATCCCTCTTCGGCAACCACCTCTTGAGCTCGAGTATTTCAATGCCACCTCCATTGCCGCCGCCGGCCAATTATTCCAACGTGTTCGGTACTCCCACTCTCAAACCCGAGTAATTTTAGGAAGCATCTGGTGTACCTCCCACTGACTTAGGATCCAACATCGCCACTCAAATGCTTAGAAGTGTACTTTACGAGGTTTGTGTCAATTAAACTTTCTGACCCTATTGTGGCACTTCCTCATGATTGAATTTTACCATGCCACCTCTCTGTAGCGTCACCGGCCAGCCATTCCGTCTTCAACAACAATACCTCGAGCTCCAATATTTCGATGCCACCTCCTCCGCTACTGTCACCCGCCGTTTCTACCAGCGTGTTTGGTACCCTGTCTATCTAAAGCCCAAATATTTTGAGGAATGCTGCCAGTGAACCTCCCATTGACTCGAGGTCCAACGTGAAGCGTACGGCTAGGACTTAACGGCCGTACAACGATGGACCTCGTGCTCGACCAAGACGAAGTCATAGTCCACGTTGTGTGCATACTCTTCCGTCGTTGGGGTCGAGAAGATGACCATCACTGAGGGCCTGGCATAGCGCATCGTGCCGACGTTGTCCCTGCTCTGCTCGCCAAAGCACACATCGTGGAGATCGACCTCAACGTGATAGTGGCATGATGCCAACTACTATGTGCATTCCAGGATCAACTCGTGAAAGATTTCCTTTCTATTCCAAACATTAAGGACACCATGTAATATTATTATAGTCTCTTGCAAAGCACGATGTTTTACAAGTCAAATGGCAGGTTTACGTGAAGAATATGTTTTCTTAAAATGTTCATATCACGATATTGAACCTTAATCATCTAATATGTTAGTTTTCCCCATCACAAGACACAACCACTTTTCTAGTCAATAAATAAATACTAGCAAGGTTTGTGTCATTTACACTTTCTAACCCTATTGTGGTCAAGTCAAAACTACATCGGACAACCACACTAACAGTGTTATAAAACTGGATATTGACAAGGAATCTACTGAGGATCCATTCTTAGATATAGAGTATGCTCCATTGTTTTTGTGAAGGATCTAGGAGAAGCACTAACAATTTAAAATGTAGAGTCGATGGTCCATGAAAAGTTGTTTGGCAGCTTGGTTTTGCTAGTTTGCCGCTTTTTTACCCTCAGGAAATTTTACTCTCAACTTCTAGCAGACGATTGTTTCACCTTTTTTTTTTGACCAGACACATATTACTCGCAAGCATTCTCTCTAGACACTATATGGATAAATCCACAATGATCAAAGAGTCAAAACCAATGCATCCTCTTCAGTGAACCTTAACAGGTGATTGTGCGCACATTTTATACCCAACAGTCGTGTACTACAAAACTTGAAGAATCTAAGCTTTTCACCTTAGATAAGCAACTTAATAGTTCCTAGAGTGGCCATGAAAATATTGACCTAATGATGGTTTGCTAGCTTTGAAATGTGTCTTCCAGAATCATGTTGAGCAAAGAATCAAGAATCAACTAACAAGTTGGCAACATTTGTGTTAATGTGGTCAAGTCAACCATGTTGGACAATCATAAAAATAGGGCAAGGTGCTGCTAGCAGAATTAACTTCCCAAGTGGACAAACACTTAGTTAGGACAACACTGCAATAAAACTAGATCTTTGACAAAGATTTTGCTTAGGTTTCATCCTCAGATTTGGCATCCTCCATTGTTGTTGTGAAGATTCTAGGAGAAACACAACAATTTTTAAACTAGCTGCAACCTTAGTTGACAGGCTTCAAACTTTCGAATGGCTTTAGTGTAAACATGCAATATTTCAACAATACAAAGTTTCTATCAAAGTAGGTTGGCATCTTGGTTTTTTTTGGTATGTAGATTTACCAAGGGATGTTCTACTCACACCTTCTAGCGGAAGATTCTTCCTAAAATGTCTATTACTGGCACCTAACAACTCACAAGAATTCTCTCTTGGATTTAAATGTATACATCAACAACAATCAAAATAAATCCACTTATATGCTCTCCCCGTCAATGTACTTTGATCATTATTGTGTTTCTTCAATTGTCCATTATACTGTAGCAAAATCTAAAGCAGGAGATTTATATCATCGACAAGCAACTATCCAGTTTCAAAGTGGTATACTTATTGATAGTTTGATAGCTTCGAAACGTGTCCTCAAAAATCTTGCCAAGAAGCAAATTAACAAACAAGTTGGCAATGTTTGTGTCATCTCCAAATTTGTTGTCAACTAAAACTATGTTGGATAAGCACACAAACAGTGCAAAATGCTACCAACGGAATTGTAGTCTTGTCTTCAAATTTGGTATGCTCTAATATTTTTGTGAGGGGTCTAAGAAAAGCACTTCAATATTCAAATGTGCTGCAATGCTTGTCAATCGACTCATACTTTTTTATGGCTTTAGTGTAAGCATGCAAGATAAAAATGTTCCTAACTTAGCAGTTTGGTTTTGTTGGACTGTTCAAGGAAGTTTTACTCGCGTCTTCTGGTTTAGGATTGTTTCTTGAATTTTGCTTCGGCAACCACCTAGTATTCACAAGCATTCTCTCTGGGCATTTAATTTGTGTCCATGATGATCATGTAGTCAATCAATACACTTACACAAGTTCTCTTCGGTGGACTTTGATTGTGATCTGTGCCATCTGTTTTACTTGAGTTTTTTAGCATATTTTGATTCACCAACTGCCTAGTACTCACAAGCATTCTCTACTGCATCCACGATGATCAAGCAGTCAATCAATACAAAGTTCTACTTGTGTCTTCTAAAGTAGGATTGTTTGTGTTTCTCAAACATTTTGCTTCACCAACCATCTAGTACTCACAAGCATTCTCTAGCCACAATCACTTGCTACAAAAGCTGAAGCATTGGAGCTTTTCATCATGAATCAAATTTCTGCTTCTCAAAAATTTCTAGCATTGAACTTATGTTTCCCAAAACCATGTTGAGCAAAGAATCAACTAAGATACCAAGGTTTATGCCACTTACACTTTCTAACCCTATTGTGGCACTTTCTAAAGCTTGAATAATTGCATCCCAACCCTGTTGCCACTGACATCACTACCTTTTGCGCCGTCGATGGCCGATTGTTCCCTCTTCCGTAACAATTCCTCAAACTAGAATATTTCTCGAGCTGCATCCACCAGCCAATCGTTCAACGTGCCTGATACTCCCTTTCAAGCCTAACTATTCTGAGGAAGCCTGACTTTAAATGCTCTATTTTCCATTTATGAATCATATAACTACTCTCTGTCCCAAAATAAGTCCACTTCTATACATGGAGTATGGACTTATTTTGGGACAAAAGGAGTAGAATTTATGTATTTGATTTCTATAATGATCTTAATACATATGGAGCTCTCAACCAATGTGGTACTATGTGCGTGATCGCATGAGCTTGCAGTGCCAGGATGAACAATGCAACAAGCCAGCTAGCCACAATGGTTTTCCTCTCGATCGGCTAGTGTGTGGCATTGCGTGCTAAAGTTTTCACTTTCTTACTTGGCTAAGGATACCAGCTAGGCATGCGGTTTTTGTTCTTGATCTTGAACCCACCTAAACACTTTTGTTAAAGCTCACAGAGTGATGTGTGATTCGTGTGGGTTTCTGTTTTAGAGAAATGGAAACCACAGACAATAGGGTGGTATAGTGCACGAAATGTGCGAGCAACGACAAAGCTAGCTAGTCACAACGGTTTGCCTTTTGATTGGCTGGTGTGTGACATTGTGCAGTATAGCTTTCATTCTCCTACCTGGTAAAGGATATCGGTTAGGAACATTGTGGCATGGCATGCGGTTTTGTTCTCAATCCCGAACCCGACTGGACACTTTTGTTAAAGCTAGAAGTGTTGTGTGATTCGTGTAGCACCAAACCGTATGTCTTCCTGAATCATGTTGAGCAAAGAATTATCTAACAAGTTGGTAATATTTGTGCCATTTACACTTTCTAATTCAACTATGGCCAAGTCAATGCCATATTGGACAATCAGACAACCGTGGAAGAATATGTGACTAGAATTTGTGTACTTGATTTCTATAATGTTCTTAATAGGTATTTAGCTCTAAAGCAGTGTGGTACTACGTGTGTGCTCACAATACCAGGATGAATGATGCAACAAGCCAACCAACCACAATGGTTAGCCTCTCGATCGGCTGGTGTGTGGCATTGTGTGCTAGAGCTTTCACTTTCCTACCTAGCTAAGGATACCAGCTAGGCACGCGGTGGCATGGCATGCAGTTTTTGTTCTCAATTCTGAATCTGACCAAACACTTTTGTTTAAGCTAGCAGTGTTGTGTGATTTGTATAGCACTAAACCGTATGTCATCCAGAATCATGTTGAGCAAAGAATTATCTAACAAGTTGGTAATATTTGTGCCATTTACACTTTCTGACCCAACTTTGACCAAGTCAATGCCATAAGCAATATGGAACTACGCGCGTGTGCTCGTGGCGCCAAGATGATCAATGTAGCAAGCCAACCAACCACAACGGGTTGCCTCTCGATCAGATGGTGTGTGGCATTGTGCACTATGGCTTTCACTTTTCTACATGGCAAACAATATCATCTAGGCACGTTGTGGCATGCAACCAAATCAATCCAATTATCTACTCTCCTCTTTTACGAACATTAATAGTGATCGTGTGCACATCTGTTAGCCACAATCCTAGGTGCAAAAGCTGAAGCATTGGAGATTTTTAGTGTAGAGAAGCAACTTACCACTTCTCACTATTGCATTGTAAATCTCAACCTAGTCACAACTCAATATCTCTCAAATGTATGCCTTCCACAAACATGTTGAGCAAATAATCAGCTAACAAGTTAGCCATGTTTGCGTCAATTTCACTTTCTGACCCAATTGTGATCAAATCAATCAGATAGAAATTGCAAAAAAAGAAAAAAAACAAGTTAGTTCTCATGTTTTGTGTCTTCCATTGTTCTCTTAAACGATCCAAGATAAGCACTACAATTTTTAGATGTGTTACTGTCCTTATTAATGTACTTCATAATTTTAGATGGCTTTAGTGTAAAGGTCAGTTTGGTTGCATATGCTAAGTTGCCAATTTTTTAAGCTAAAGCGTGCATGCCATGGATTGTGTGCCTGAATATAGTTGGCCACAACTTAGGTAAGACATGGCTAGAAAATGTGTCTATGGCATGTGGGGAAATAAGGTAAGGTTATGTGGCATGTCAAAAGTGTGGTGGCAAACAAAACGTCTGCCTTAAGTTGGCCAAACCCGTGGCAAAATGTAAGTACACGCAATTCTAGTGTTCCCATGTTTCCATGGAAAGTTGTTTAACAACTTGGTATTGTTGGTTTATACTCCCTCCGTTCTTGTTCAATTGATAGTTTTGCCAAAAAAAATGTTGTTTGCAAATACTTGAAATGCATTCCCAATGTGTAGTTTCCTTTTTTACCCCTATAATAAGTAGTCATATTCTACCCACAGTCCCCCACAAATATAAAAGTTGCTTTATAACACTCTCACCAACTTGCTACCCACAATACTAAACAATATATTCAAGGCGAAATAGTCATATCTAGAAAAATATAATGATTTTCTAGTCTTGTGTGCACACTCAAGGATCAACTAAAAGAAAAAGAAGGGGGTAGGCAGGTAGCTTTTGTGTGAGGTAAGTTTTACTCACGCCTTCAAGTGAATCAGCATTTTACTTGCATGCATTCTCTCCAGGTGTTTTATGTATGGATCCACGAGGATCATACAATCAAAATCAATCCATTTACTTGCTCTTTGGTAGACTTTGATGGTGGTTGTGTGCACATCTATTCCCCACAATCATTTGCCTCAAAAGCTAACATATTGGAACTTTTGGGTGTGAAGACTGGAGAAGCATCTTTCTAGTTCCCACAATAGGAATGTAAATCTCCACCTTGTTGGATCTAAAATGTATGCCTTCCAAAATCATGTTGAGCATAGAAAAGCTAACAAGTTGGCAATATTATGGTCAAGTCAAAATCATATTGGCTAATCAGAAAAATAGTGTAAAAATATGCTCAGGCTTCATTCTCAAATTTGGTTCCTAGTTGTAAGGCTGAAAGTTTTTCATGTTACCAAGGTTCTGTTAAAGTTGTTTACAGCCTTGTTCTGTTAGGGTGCAACTTTACTGAGGGGAAGTTTACTCTCGTCTTCTAGTAGAGGTTCGTTTCTCCAATTTTGTGAACCATCATGTACCTTCCAGCACCATTTTCTAGCTTTGGAAGATCCTCCACTGTCCACCGACACTCCACCGGCTTTGGTTAAGTATATTTTAGTTAAAAAGTTTCAAGTATTTCTCTCTTACTTCCTCCGTCCCAAAATGTAGCTACCTAGTACTAGATGTGATATTACCTAGTACTACGAATCTGGACAGGAGGACAGAGGTAGTATATCATTTCATTTAGTACAAGCTACTCCCACTATCTAGTGGACTATGAAAAGTTTAGGTAAAAGACATTACTTTGCATAATATTCTTGCAACTTAGGCACAATCTAATTTCCTTATAAAATCGTTGACACTCCCTCTGTTGTCAAATAAATGAAGTTTTAGAATGTGTGCAATCAAAACTCAAAATGTTAATTCACTAATATATGCAAAAAAAAAAGATTTGACATGTGAAAATGTCATTAGTTGATTTTCTTGGAAAAATACTTTCATGTTGTTATGCTTTTAATTATTTTTGTGGATATATAATCGTAGTAAGCAACAATAAAACATGTGCATTGGAAACTGTAAATGTCCTAAACCATAAGTAAAAAAAGGAGGGAGTACCATATACTAGTTGGGCACTTGGGCTTGTTACCCACTGAAAATGATCTTTACATGGATGTTCATGTATTTTGTACCCTGAAAAATAAAATATCAGTAACATGTATTTAGCTTAGCGATCCATACACACTCCTAATAGCACAAATATCTCACTCTAATATAATTAATCATTAGCATGCAAGTGTCTTACCGACATACGTGAGTAATTCCACCTCTTGCTCTTGAAATGAAGCAAAATTATGATGACTCATCAAGCTTCTAGGGCTGGTCTGGGAATGTGTCCTTTACAGCATGAATGTACCGGAGCACATCATATGCTTTTATCTCTGGCTCAGGCAGTGTAGTGGCTTGCCCGACATTCAAAAGAAACAATCAACTGAACACCATTAGAATGTAAGAATAAGATAAAGTGATTTACACCAGTCAATCTTTTAACTAAGAATAAGGTTCAAACAAGGCCCCAATCAACAAGATACGAAGCATAAGTACGTACCAAAAGAAAAAAAAATGATAACCTCATTCAGTTAGAAAATAAGGAAAAAAAACAAGAATATGCATCGTAACTTGCTGCAAGCGGCAAGCCACTACAGCCACCTCCTATTGATGAAGAAAGGGATTGGCTCACCTCCTAGATATGGCTGTTGGCGCTGCCTATTTGCAAAGGGAAGGGAAAAGAGAGTCTATGAGAGCACACTTCTCACGGAAGAAAGGCATGCTCTTCAATGATAGGTTGTTAATTGTGTCATAGGAGACCTGATCGGGATGTGAATAAGCCGTGGGGTTTCGGATGTGAACCTATGCAGACTCTACAATGCGATGAACTTCTTCTGCAGAAAAGAAAAGAAAATGCTACTCTAATCTGCTTATATCCTTTATGCCAGTTTTAATGCAGTTTACCATAGTATTTATCTTTGCTAGCTATCCAAATTAAGAAAAACACTATGATATATGCAGCTCATTTATTCATGATTATGATCTTATTTTTTACGCATGTCCTGATTCTGAAGATTTTGTTCATGAGCTCAAATTCCTATCTTCTGTGAACAGGGGAACTGCGATTAATATGAAGATTCTTCTGGAGGTTTGCCATGTTATTCAATTAACGTAAAAAATGGTCATTTGTTTCAGCAATGTCATTTTATTTTCTGTAAAAGACTGAAGATATATATCTCAGTGTAATTTCAGAGGCATTCAAAATTATATTAGCAAGTGATATTTGTGCAGATTTTTTTCGCTATTATCTAATACAACAAAAAGTAGCATATATTAAGAATCGCAAGACAAAAAAAATATTTTACGATTGTAAACTTGACTATCTAAGTTTTTTATGGTTTTTATCAAATTACTCTTTAGAATATACAGTCAGATCAATGAAGACATATTCTGTAGGACTCCTTTTAAATACAATAATTGGATGAGCATTTAATGTCTTAGTTACAGACCAGAGCAAACACAATAAGAAAATAAAATATCTCATCTTGAAGAAAGGTGCACAATTGGCATTATATGGATTAAAATATTACAACTGAGGTTCTAATTAAAAATCGTTATGGCAATATAGGAGCACAGATACTTCAAAGGGCACATCTCATCATATCTAAGAAAATAAACTCAAGTCAGTAAATTTTATAGTAACTCCAAGGAAAATAGCATTCAATATTTCAGTTAACATCTGAAAGCAAAATTAAGATTGCATTGATAGCTTGAGCACTACAGAAGCATAGGATGCCAAACCTTAAATATATAGTTTTCTCCTCAGTGACTTCCTCCATAGTAGCTTCAGGATTGGTTTTCCCGCTTCAGACTTTTCCCATGAACATCTTATATTCAAAAGAAAATACCAGCATTTAAGTTGTTTGAGGCTTTAAATGTTATTACGATGTAAATTATAGAATGGTTTAAGCACACCAGATGAGAGGAAGAATGCAGTATAAATATATATTAGCATCTGAAAAACTCCATACCATATCTTAAAGAGATGGATGACTGTGATCCTCTTTTAACTGCTTTAGCATTGAATTGCACGCTGGCAACCTCTGCAGACAATGGTAGTATGGTCTTTCAATGTTTGTCAACTCGGCATCCAGTAAAACTCATTCACCATTTGAAAGATAAACTCCATACCAAGAACATGTTCTCTGTTATTAGCTGGCTAGTTGATTAATGCCATCTTCCTACGAAACATGTAATAAACTGAAATTTTATGTATTCAGTAACTAACGTAATCAACACATGCATGTAATGCAAATATATATTTGCGCAAATAAGCTCATGATTTCATTCATAGGATTTCCTAGGCATTACGTCAAGATGTCAAGCATCATCGGCATTTTGGTCATGACAATACTAATAGAAACTCTTGGATATTCTTTCGTATATGACATCGGTCGTAAAAAAACAGACAAATAATAACTTTAAAGGATTAGGCCACTTATCCTTCTATTAACGGTACTCGTACGGATGAGGGCTCAACTCGCTCTGTTCCACCTCCCAAGGAGGTTCTTTAAAGTTGAAACCATATGCTCTCGGGATATGTAGTTAGGTCTCCCATAGACCTCAGTTATCAGTGAAAGTGCATTAATCCCCCTAGTGGGTTTTGGTGATTAATGACAAATGTGGTTAAGGAACTAATGAGTTCATTGAGTGACTTTCAGGTGCATTAGTCCAAGGTGTGGAAGATGGATGCTTGGAGACCCCCAAAAAGTACAAAATCAAAGCGGACCGGAACTCGAGAAGTGCATAGGATAGTTTATCTTTTGAAATCGAGTTTTTAGGAAAAACCGTACTATTAAGAGGGGTTCCAGGTGATGCTCTGAGATATATCAAGTGCTCTTAGTGTGAACCAAGTGTCAAGTTTCCCTAGGAGTCATTTTTGCAAATACTCCATCTGTCCAAAAATGCAAGTCCGGAACTTCCTGTCTTCCAGGTCCGGAAGTTCCGGTCTTGTGAAAAAGATTTTCCTAAGTGTAGTCCGGAAGTTCCGATCTTCCAGGTCCGAAACTTCCTATCTAGTTTCCAGTTCAAATTTGTGAGTAACGGCTAGATGATGTCACCTAGCCGTTATACATATACAGCTCGTTCCTTGGCCATTCCACTTTCACTTTTCAAACCTAGAGCTATTGCTAGCCTCTCCCAAGTGTTTCTTGCCTTCTCCACTCAATCTAGAGCCTAATTCATGTGTGAATGAGAGATTGAGAGGGAGAGAAGAAGATTTGGAGAGGTGTGAAGACTAGGATCTTGGGTGAGCACTTGGAATATCTCGTGGGCTATCATCTCGGTGCTTATTACTCTTGGAGATGATCTCCTAGACGGTTAGGTGTCGCCCGCGAGAATCCGTTGCATATTGTGGATGTCCCGGGTAAGTTTGTGAAGGATTTCCTCTCCTCCGAAAGGGAACGAGGTAAGTTAGTGAAGTTCTTGTGCTGAGATTCTAGAGGCTTTCCAAGTAGAGCAACCCACACTTGTGGTGGATTTCTAGAAGTAGGTTGAGTTGGATCTTGGTGGTCACTCAATTCTAGAAATTTGCCTAGGGGTGTTTGGGGTTGAAGGCTGTGGATTTCCTCTAGGGTTTTTGCACAAGTGAGGCAAGGGGTTAATCGAGACCCAGCTCTTTGGAGCTCCTCAACGGAGAGTAGGATCGCAAGATCCGAACTTCGGGAAAAAATTGCTCTTGTCTCTTTCTGTGATGTTTCTGTGGATGATTCTGTGATATATCCTCTGCTTAGAATACCTGTGCACCATCTTGTGAAGATTGGCTTAGTCTCTTGTTTTGAAATTTGAATTTCTTCTCTATTCTGTTACCCGGAAGTTCCTGTCTTAGAACACCGGAAGTTCCGGGCCTGGGAGACCGGAAGTTCCGGAATTCCTTACCAGGAAGTTCCGGGTCTGTTTGAATTTTACCGCTGCGATTTATTTTTAAGTTTTCAGGGACAGCCTATTCACCCACCCCCCCCCCTCTAGGCTTCATCAGCGCGTTCAATCAGCTAGGATTAACAATGACAACACAGACTACAGGTCAACTATTCACCCATAAGCCAATGGATTCTTGCATCACATCGACCCTGATATTCAGTTGTTTTACAAGTGGGTACCTAGCAAAAGTTATATGATTCCTTGAAGTCCAACAAATTATTAATCACTAATCAACCAGACTAACCTTTCTTTATACTAATTTAGAGGCTATCCTAGAAGTCCCTGCCTTAATTTTACAAAGTATGAAAACAAGAAATTTCCACATTGATGGGAAAAAAAAGCTTAAAATTCTCCCATTACTCTGAAAAAGGAATCTTTCAATGAATCTTTTGTTTGGATCTTCTAGCTATTATGAAATATACATGGACGCATGTGAAGTAACAGTACGGAACACAGACACGTGTATAATGGATTTACGGATTCAATTTTGAACACAGCCACACAGCTCACATGCATGCAATTGATTGTGTGGTCACAACAGGACACATGCATGCTCATTTCTTTCCTTTTTCCAGAAGTGCACATAAGACTCAATAATTTGCATGCATAAAGAGGGTAGGAAGTTGTGCATACTCTATCATGTCATCCTGTAAGATTGATTAGTACGCCATGAGGAAAATATTCTATTTGAGCCCTCAGAATGGCAGTTTGTGCAAAATCCATCATGTGAACATTTTTTTCCCCAGTAAATTGAATTAAGGAACATATTCCCTCTGTTCCAAAAGTAACATTTCGGATATAGTATGGCCTACAACATGCTACACAGACCACTTTTTACAGGTATACACTTCTTATAGAAATAAGTACTATGATAAATTAACTAGTAACAATTTCATACAAAAACTTTAATAGATTTATTGTTATTAGCAGGCAAAAATAACTACTCCAATGTTATATGCTTTCTAAAATACCAAAATGTGCAAGAGAAGGAAGTATATCCATTTGTGTAATTGTGCTATAAGATGATAAAAGTAAAATCATACCTAATATATCAACCCTCTAAACTCTTAATTCTAGTGACATACATTGCAACAAGAGACGACATAGTAACGGTACACACCGCACAAGGAATCTTCCAAATAAGTTCACCTTGGATGCGCGGGAGAGGGAGATGGGCATAGCCGCGGCAGCGCTTCGAGGGCTTCCATCTGCGTGGCGGCCGTGCTCCTGAGGTCCGCAATGCAGTACAACGCCTCAGTGGCAGGGGCTGGGGACGCTGCTGCGTTCAGGAGAGTGGAGATGGTGTGTGGCCTGGCGAGTGCGAGCGGGGCTAGACGCCTAGACGCCTTGGACTTTGGCGCAGCCGCAGGCGGCGTGGACACGAGGAGCCAGGGGAGGAGAGGACGCTGATGCCAGCAGTGGGGGAGACTTGTGACAACGGGGTGGAGCTGATGCCGGCGCGGTGGGGGAGAGGAATGAGGGCTTAGGATTAGGGCTCACTACCTCGCCTGAACCTGGTGGAGAGGGAGAGGGAGTAGGTGGCGCGCGCGCGGTGGGGGATTTTGGCGGCGGCACCGGCGGCGGAGGGGAGGAGGACTGAGGCGGCGGCGGCGGGGGAAGGGAGGCGCCGTGGAGGTGACGCGCTGAGCAGATGGAGGCGGTGGCGATGGCCGCGGGCGATGCGGGGGAGGACTGTCGTGTCGGGTAAGCTGATGGGGGTATCAGGCGGCGGCGGCGGCGGCGGCGGCAGCCCGGCGGCTAGGGCAAGCGACCATCGCGGGCGTCGGATCACCGAGGTCGCCGTCGGCGCCGCCACCGTACGCCGCCTCGGCTTGAATCTCCCTCCGCTCAGGGATGGGACAACCGGAGCACGTGCGCGGCGGCGCCGGCGATGAGGTCGTCGACGGCGCCGCGAGAGAGAAAACCCAAACCCCTATGCGATGGCTGTCTGTGAAAATCCAACGGCTATCAGGGATTATTTTGCAAAACGTACAAAGTCCCTGCAGAGAATTTCGAGATTTTTAAAATTAGGCATACACCACCATGGCGGGTTCGTTGTCCCTATATGACGAGAGCACGAGTCTATTAGGTACTCCGTTGAGACCGGTACGTTTTTGGACAGTCAGCAGCGAATGCAGATTTATGAAATTGTACATATGCACTTAGTTCTTGAGGGCAGATCACTGCTTGCTAGGTCCGCCATGGTGGTCTATGCCCCAATGTTAAATTTTCTCAATGTGAAATTTTTAACATTTCTATTTTGAAATTCAAATTTGTGTAACAGAGGGAGTACCGTGAAAGGCATAGACCACCGTAGCGGACCTAACAAGCAGTGACCTGTCCTCAAGAACTAAGTGCATACGTATAATCCCATAAACCTGCATTCGCTGTTGGCTATCCAAAAGCGCATAGGTCTCAACGGAGTACCCAATAGGCCCGTGCTCTCGACACATAGGGACAACAAACCCATAAACCTGTGTGTCTGTAAGGGCATCAGCAACATTTACTATCCACATCGGTATTAGCGTGGGCCCAAATGACAAGCGGCAATAGAGGGAGACGTGCTTCACATTGCTTATTTCTGTGAGTTCGCAGTAAGGTGGGGTCCATGGGGTAAAAAAAATCGTAGCAAGGACAGAGCATGCATGCAACGCTGGGAGAAGCAATGCTTTTGCTGTAAGAAAACACTGTGTACATGCATATACTATTTCCTTGCTTCCGGCAGTAGTGGTATGACCCGGTCGTAGTTATGTACTAGCCCCACAATGCTTAATACCACGTAGTAAAGGTGTATTTATTGCTTACGACCCGATTTGTGAGCACGTTGCTGATGCCCTAACATCGGAAACACTCACTCAGGGACCTGATTGTAAAATACGCAACAATTACAACAGGGACCCGATTGCAAAATGTTTGGGCCCCTAACACTGCTGCCGATCCCAATTAGGGACTGGATTGCAAAACAGCCCAACGAAATGGGCCGCATCACTAGCTCTCCAGAAGACCCAACTCCGAAGCAGCACAAGCCCAAGTAGGGTTTCCTCGCTCCCACCTTCACCCACGAGGTCTCCGACGCCGCCGCGGCCGCCGACGACGACGACTACCTCCGGCGACCGCCGGGGCGGCCTTAGCGCCGGGTACCCTGCCGCCTCCGCGTAGCCGAGCCCTATCGCGTACCCGTCCCTCTCGCGCCTAGTGCGCCGGGCTGGCCGGTGGCGGAGTACCGGAAATGGTGATCTCTTCTCCCTCTCAGAGATTCCAGCTTTGGTTAGTGGCTCGTGTGTCGTTTGCATGTGCTAAGATTGGATTGAGTTTTTGTTTGAGCAATCCCATCCGTAGGGTAAGGGAACCAGGTGCAGCTATAGAGGGAATTTTCCAGGTGTTGCACTGATTGCTAATGTGAAATGTTGAGCAATTTTGGAGTCAGGGGTGTGTGTGGTAGATGTAAGATTGGGAACTTTGTTGGTAAATCTGTTATTATTCCGATTGAAAGTTAAAGCTCAGATTACTCTGCTCTGTGGATTTGTTGAGCCAGTTGCTTATCTGGGACTTCGGTAATCCAATTAGAGTAGAACTTGGTGGGCATAGTCAATCTGCACGAATTGTTACTAATGATCATGGAAACATCTTAGTATAACTTACATCATTTCTCATCCTCCTATTACTATTGGTATGAAATTACATTTTGGGTGCATTCACTGCATGGTTTTAAGTATTAATCAGCGGGTTGTCCGAAACTAAGAATGAGTGTAAATTGGCATTGGTTTGATTTATGTTTGCAATGCAGCGGCAGTTTTCTAATGACCGTGTTGTTTTCGGTTATTTTTGTAGTTCGCAAAACAATTTCCTATTGTCTTCTCCATGCATCCTACCAGTTTGTGCTTATTTACTTTCTAGCTTCTGGATAATTTTATGATCTCTAAATGTTTGATTTCAGTTTAATGCATGAATACAGAGTGCCAATAACAAAGTAGAGGCCAAAAATGGATGCGCAACACGACAAAGTTAGTTATAAAGTTATAGCGATTTAATACTTCCATATTTAATTTCTGCAGGCTACACCACTCATAGCAGGACTCACGGTTGCAGCGGCGGCCCTTGCTGGTAGATATAGTATCCAAGCTTGGAATGCTTATAAGGCAAGGCCTGTAGTTCCTAGGATGCGCAAATTCTATGAAGGTGGCTTTCAACCTACAATGACTCGAAGAGAAGCTGGTTTAATCCTAGGTGTCAGGTAAATATCATATAGAAGCATAGTAGTATCTGTAGTACAGTCAATGAATCTTTAATGTTTATATTTGTATTAGCACAAATCTACTCATATATCTAGCTTCACCCCATCCCCATGTCATTGATATTTTGTTGAACTGATGCACTCATACTCATGAACTTTTCCTGATCCCTGCCCCCCTCTTAACTCATAGTAAGATTCCACCCATCCCAAGCCTCCAATTTGTTGGCCAGATCCTCATAAACAATGGAAGTACACATTTCACAGAAATGTAGGGAGTTAAGGACTGTAAGGCCGATGCAGTAAAATCTGTGAGATGCTTGTTTTCTGTATGGGGAGATATTGTTGAACATCATTGAGGGGTACTCATTAAACTTCTAAAATAGACACAGGATTCATAGCTGTAATTTTACTGTAATGAACACATCATAGAACACAGCTAGTTGCAAAGAAAACAACTCTTCCCTTCCCAAATACAAATAGTTCTGTAGCTCTCGATGTTTATGTATTAGACATGTCATAAAAGTATAGTTTTAGAAGCTGAACATGATCATTCTATCATTTTAGATGTAAGCCTGCCAATGGGTCTAAATCCAATCCAAAACCAATCCAACCCAACACCTGCCGAGGCAGCCCACCAAACCAATCCACACCATTTTCCCATTTATAAGATCCAACCCAAACCAACCCACAAGCACTTCCAGGCCAAACTAACCCAAACCATTCCAGCCTAGTGGGTTCAACCCATTTTATATCCATGGGTTCAGTCCACGTACAGTCCAATCTTCATCAATTGTCACCACTCGCCATCGGGAGGAAAGGTCCAGGACGCCGCCGCGTTCGCAAAGATCGAGCAGCTCGTTCCCCTTTCCCTCCCTCTCCCTTCGCTTTCTCTCTTCCTTCCTAGGGCTTCCCCTCCTCGGCGGCGCTTCACATCAGCGGCGGGGGCAAGTTCGGGGACATGCTGATCGAGGAGGAGTTGGTCGTCCACGACGTGGTGGTCGGTGTCGGGCTGAGCGGCGACCGCGGCGGCGGTGGCGGGACGGCGGCGGAGGCGGAGGCGGAGGCGCGGCTTGGCCTTGTCGTCGTCGTCAACAACGGCGACGGCGGCGTGGTGGTGGAGCGGCATTGGGCGGTTCTAGAAGGTTCTAGAAGGGGGAGGGCGCTGCTACGACTACGAGCTCTGATATGAATCTGCGTCTTAAGTGTGCTTTCTAGCTTGTGTGTGTGTGTGTCTAAGCTTGCTTTGGGCTTAAGCTTTGGTTAAGCTTCACACACACTTCGCTGGCTGCTGCTGCTGGGTTTGGCTTTGTACTGATCACTGTATTCAGAGGCCATTAGTGCAATCCACTCGTATCCATGGGTTGAATCCATGGTTACAATCCATTTTGGACCATAAAGAATTGTAACCACATCCAAACCAACCCACACCGTTTTTCAATGAATCCAAACCGCTCCAGTCCATTCTGAGTATTGCCCCATTTGAATCCAACCAAAGCCAGTCCATTTAGAAATCCAACCCATTCCACCCATTTACATCCAGTCCATTAGCAGGCTTATTTAGATGGATTAGTGGAATAGATGGATCAGTCTTGCATTTCACCCATACTATGTGGGGCAAAAAGTACTGAGCTACTGGTAACAGTGCACCTAACTCCCATTAACTAACCTATCTACCAAGAGTCAATTGAAATTTCCCTGGTAAATTAGCTCCTTTGCAATGATATGCTTTCTTTTTAGTATGCTTTCTCCATTGATACAGAAAGGAATTGTTATCAGAGGCGTAGTTTTCTATTCTTGAGAGAGACAAATATGTGTTCTGTCAAATGTACTCTTTTAGCACCTATAGTTTGAATTAAGTCCTGTGTTTGTCCCTCCAAAGTTGAACACTTCAGATCAGTCATTCCTGCATTTGTGAAGTCCCTTTTTTTAATTCAACAGTTTTTATTTGGTAACTTGCAATTTGAGATTTATTTACGTTTCTTTCTTTCATTAAGTTGTTGTTCCTTTCCTCCTTTGATCCCTGCAGGGAAAACGCCCATCCTGAGAAGGTAAAAGAGGCGCATAAGAAGGTCATGGTTGCTAACCATCCAGATGCAGGCGGTAGCCATTACCTTGCTTCAAAGATCAATGAGGCCAAAGATATTTTGTTAGGGAAGACAAAAGGAGGGGGGTCAGCCTTTTGATTATTACAATAATAATGCACCATATGTTCTTTCAATGAAATGGTGAATTTTGGTATCTGTAGTCTGAGGACTTGAAAGGTAGGCTTAAATCTTGATGCGTGACTAGAAATTTATGGACAGAAAATGTTAGCAGGTCTGTCCACTGTTTGACATTTCAGTGCCCGGTCGTGTTCGCTCAACTGGTTATCGAATAACTGATATACATGGAAATGGTAATACCTGTACGATGTATCATATCTCTATTAGACCTGTTGCATTTTGGTAGCTCTTCGGTGGACTTGAAATAAGCATGTACTATCATTATTAGCATCTGTGCAGATGTATCTCCTGAGATCACAAAAACCATGGTCAGGTAAATCATCACCGAACTTTTGTTACTTCGAGTTCATTTGCTCGCCCGAGTTCTGAAGATTAGCACACGACCATAATATGGTTTTGATTCAGTAGTTTATACATGCAAACCAACAATTTTTTGTGCAGAAGATCTAAGGTCTGAAATTTGGCGGATTCAATCCAACGATCGTTCGTACGTTGTAATGGTCAGGCTTATATAATTGAGGATGTGTTAGTACGGTGATCGAGGATAAAGTGATTACTCATGCCGATTATCCGCACGGGAGGGAATGAAAGGAGAACAACTTCTTCGACTGTAGTAGAGACATACTCCAATAAACGTCAAACAAATATAAAACAGCATGGTTACAGCAATCCATATCTTATGGTTCTTTCTCTCTCTGTTTTTTTTTTCCTATGCAGAAAAGGCAAGTAGTAATAAATAAATAAGTAGAGTAAAAAATAAATTTATACACGCTGCCATTGCTACTGTTTGATGGATTGATCATTCAGTCGACTTTCTTTTATATATATAATAAATTTTATTTTTATACAATGAAAGCTTTATTGAGAAAAAAAATCAATCAATTACATCAGGATGAGTCATCCATCAGATCAAGAATGAGATCAGCTAGCACTATTGACCATCCTATCCTAGCTACTAGCTTGCTGCTGCTGCTGCCGCCTGGTCCTCCTCCAGCTGCTGCTTCTTGACGTCGGCGAGCAGGACAGCGACTATCATGTACATGCACCAGACGCCGAGGAAGAAGTTGAGAAGCGACAGCGGCGCCGCCGCCTGCGGGGAGCCGAAGACGCGCTCGGCGACGGCGTCCTTCTTCATTGTCTCTTGAGGTGGTGACGGGCGGCGGCGCGACGTCGGGGATGTCGATGGCGACGTGGGGCGGCGCCGCAGCCGTGTTTGAGGCGTTGGAGGAGGAGGCGGCAATCGGGACGGAGAGCACGGCGGGCACCATGCTGCCGCCGGCGAGCGACGCGCGGATGGTCCCAGCTCGGGCACGCCGCCTGCGTACAAACTTATAGGCGAGCCGTTCCGTCAGTCCGAGTCCGACATTGAAGCCAACTCCTTCATTCTAATCCCAGTCGGAATTTCCAGTGTTTATAATCTAATCTTTTCACAATAAAAGTATTACTCCTATATTGCAAAATTATTATTATTGTTGTTGATGATGATGATGATGTTTTATGTCCAATGTTTATTGATGCACACAGACCATGCATACTCTCTCTTATACAAGTATTTTGAATAAAACGATTGGTGCGAAAAGTTAACATTGTCATACATTATAAAATGTAAAATGAAGGGATTACATGCAAACCAACAAACTCATGGCAGATGACCTAACGTCTGAATTTTGGCAGATTCAACGGGTTTCAGGCTTTCAGCAGAGTTTTCAACGGAGTTCTCGAGCATGTATCAGAGGGTTCCAACGATGGCTCGTGCGTTGTCACGTGTCAGGCTTATATAATTAAGCATTTTGCTAGGAGGGTGATCGACTGTAACAGAGAATGTATGAATATGAACGTATACACGAAAGAAATGGAAGGAGAACGACTTTGCTTCTACCGTAACAGAGATATGAACATCAAACAGATATAAAACAGCATGCGTACGCCAATCCATAGTTTGTGGGGAGGTTTTTTTCGCCTAAGCAAAAATGGCAAATAGTAATAAATAAAATAGAGTAAAAATATAGTAAATTTATAATCAGCTAGCAGTCGACTTATTTTTAATATAATGAAAGTTTTATTGAGAATCAATCAATTACATATCAAGATCAAGATCAAGATCAACAATGGGCTAGCATGCATTAATTATTGACCATCCTATCCTAGCTTGCTGCAGCTGCTGCTGCTTGATCCTCCTCCTCCTGCTTCTTCTTCTCCTCGAAGTACTCGAAGCGCAGGACAAGGTACAACCTGTACATGAGCAAGACGCCCATGGCGGCGTTGAGAAGCGACACCGGCGGCGGCGCCCGCGGGAACACCTCGAGGCACAGCATCGGCAGCAGCACCACCACGTAGAAGACGGCCACCACCCTCACGAGCGCGCCCTCGGCTGTGCAGCGGAAGAACCCGAGGACGATCCAGCAGAACTCCGCCATGGCCACCCGATCCTGCAGCCGCACGCCATTGCCGCCGTCATCGACGACGCCGGCGTCCTTCTTCTTCATTGTCTCCGAGGTGGCGGCGGCGCGACGTCGGGGATGTCGATGGCGATGTGGGGCGGCGCCGTCGCCGCCGCCGCCGCAGCAGCAGCAGCCGCGTTTGAGCCGTCTTTGGAGGAGGAGGCGGCAATCGGGACGATGGAGAGCACGGCGGGCACCATGCTGCCGCCGGCGAGCACCGTCGTCGGGAGGTCGTCGGAGAGGGAGTACGGGAGCAAGCAGCTGGTCGGCGACGCGCGGATGGTCGCAGCTCGGGCACGCATGCATACATCTTATAGGCGAGCCGTCTCGTCAGTCCGAGTCCGACATTGAGGCCAACTCCTCCATTCTGACCCGAGTCGGAGTCTCGGAGATTCCAGCGTTTATAATCTAATTAATCGTTTCAGAATATAATAAAAGTGTTATATATTGCAAAATTATATTTTGTCAGAAACATCGTGAACTACTCATTGGCAAGTACAAACAAGGAGAAAATATAATAAAACCACATAAACAGTACATTAAAAAAAGGGTAGAGGTTGAGCTGAGTTTAGATGAATTTTACATGTTGTATGTCTTAATTTCAAGTTGGTATGAATCAGTCATAAATTTTAGGTTTTAATATGTTTAAACCATTTTCATAAATTTAATTTGATTTGTTGCATCATCACGTTTCATATCTATGCTAGAAAAGAATTATGGCATCAATATATCTATGCTAGAAAAGAATTATGGCATCAACCATTGGGAGAGGGAGCACCAAATAGTACCCATACGTCATCGAGAGGGATGCCCTATTCACCGTGGAGTAGGGGCAGGACCTGGCCTTTGGCTTGAGGCCTAGGATTGGCAACCCATTAAGATTGAGAAATTTTCACCATATAGTCACCATGCAAAGCCCATCTCTCCTTGGGCTAGCCCAGGCATTGGGCCAATCCTGGGTCCTCCCCTGCTATGGATTGGGGAATTTTTTTTATTTATATTTTTTTATTAAAATATTTACAAATTTTTTTTTGTTTCAAAAATTTACAAATCTAATCACCTGCCACCCTTTGGAAAAAATCGTCCTGCCAGAGAGCGGCAAGGGACCTAAATGCAAATTTTCCAGCACAACTTGTTAGCTCTATAATTTTACAATTTAAAATTATATTATATAAAGTCAGATGAAATAAAACTTTATATCAAAATAGTAGAGCTCAAGGAGATCTACAACTTTGTAGTTAATAACTTTTTCATTTAAGATGTTTTAGATATTCAAATATTCGTTACAAAATATAAAACACATTTTAAAAAATCTCAGATCTACATCTCAAACGACATTGGATGGAGATAAACTTTATATAAAAGTTGTAGATCTTGATGAGATCTATAACTTTGTAGTTTATCACTTTTCCATTTAAAATCATTTGAAGTATCGAATAAGCATTATTAGTTTTTAAGCAATTAAAACCGGTGGAAAGGGTTTGAACACAAATAAAAATTTTGCATTTAGGTCCCTTACCGCCCATTGGGAGGGCGATTTTTAAAAATCGCCCTTCTAGAGGGCAGCAGGCGATTAGATTTGTAAATTTTCGAAACAAAAAATTATTTTTGCAAATATTTTAATAAAAAAATGTATAAATAAAAAAAATTCATGGATTGGGTGCGCTGAGATAACCTACGAGAATATGCGGCTAGGTTTAACTCATCAAGATCAGACAGCCAGGATCATTTCTGATATGAGGGACCATGTAAGACGCCATGTAGGTGGCCATGACGGACAAGATAGGGATTTCATCGAACGCCGAAATGGCAAAAGGCGGGATAGGACACCACAAGCGGCTTCTCGGATGACAGTAAAGTTGGTGTTCTGGTGGCGTTGGGTTTCGAGAGGCGATGGTTGAGATGTGTCGCGTTAGAAAATGACTGTCAAATTTTGTAGGTTTTGTAGTAAACATCAATCCTCTTATTTGATTTGAGAAATAAATCCGACTCCCCAAGCATGCCTTTGCGCCTCTAACCCTTATCGGACTGTATTTTGGACGGGGCTCCCATCTCCTCTACAACGGAGACATGAGAATCCTCATGACACAGGTTGAACCTACCTGAAACAGTTGCTCCTACATAACAACCTAAAACCACATGCCACATAGTAGCGCTGTAAATGGCCACAATCTTTATCACTGAATTTCTTTCATCCTAACCTTAGCCGGCTATATGACCGTTTCGGTAGACGTGTGGCGATGTGTTTGCACGTGCGTAATTCCTCTCTAAACAACAACTGTGCGGCGTAAAGCATCCGGCCTTTTATCTCTCAACCCATCTGCCCATTTGGCATGTCCACCTCAGGGGAAGGTAATAGGAGAAAGCACCTGCATTGGCGGTTTGTGCTGGCGTGCAAAATAATTTCAGGTCTCTCTACTCTCTGGTTGTAGTAGGTTGCTTCAGGTGTTCTTCACCCAAAGTGATCATCAATAAGTGATCCCAAGTTCAGGAAAGTACAGCAGAAATAAAGTTGATTTAGACGGGATGCATGGCCAAATTAGAGGGAGTTTAGGTGGCAAACTATTTTCTAGTACACACCTCAATCAATTGCGACATTGATGGGATTTATTTTTCTATTATGTTAGGCTCTTGTGGAAGCTAGTTTAGCTTTTGTTTTCTTTCCGCACATCGAAACGAGAAATATCATTAACTTATGACTAATTTAATATTAACTATTATGACTTAAAAGTAGGTTTATTTGATTTTTTTTAAAAAAACTTATATATAAAAACCTTTTGTAAAAAAATATATTTCAATAATTCGGGAAATGTGTTCGCTGTCTGTTTTAACAACTCACACGAGATAGTGCGATGTTTTTATTGATAAAGCAGAAAAAAAATATAAATCTATAATCTTGGAATACCATAGCCAGGAAAAAAAACCACACCATATACCTACAACCAGATCTCGCTACTGAAAGGCAAACAGGCACGACACCTATAAGGAAAGGACCTTACAGACAAGGCCTTCAAGAAGGGATTGAGACCCGAAAGTGCCACCGTCATCCGTCTTGGGAAGCCAAGACAAAGTTTTCACGTGAAGAAATCCTATTTAGGAGAGCAGAGATCACACAACAACACCCCCAAGAAGAAAGCGACGCCCGTACATGTCGCTGTTGCTGGCCCGAGCTTTCGCTCGTGAACTTTCTGCCCTCCCGAGTCAAAAAGTCATTTGCTGGAAATAGCAGCCCGCCAACCGTACACCTTCGATGCGCAGCTACCACACCAGCGCCTCGTCGCTGGTCGGCCATCAAGAAAGAGCTTGGCCATCGACGCTTTCTGAATCCATTCACGCAGTTGGGTTGGAGAGGGAGAGAGGGAGAGAGAAGAGTGGATCCCCTCTTCTCCGCACTAGCCTACCAACGCGGTCATCAAGAGGACAAGAGCTCATGCTAAATGAGAGAGTTGCAAAAGCTAAATGAGGAAAACGAACGCACCAATGACCCCATATAGAAGAACCAAATCGCTGATGTACCTCTTGGATGATCGGAAATTTGATCTCAAGTCAAATGTTAAACCAATCTTGCAAGAGTATAGGTTAGCATTTTTCTTTCTTGAAAGGAACTGAGCTTTACGAAGTCTGAGCGGCTTCAAACGTGAAGGACTATTGTTGCAAACAGTTTGAACTATAGGACTTGATGCTTTAAACTCGATTTAACTTGCATGTTTGAGAAAAAAAAAAGGAATTTTTCAACAAAGTTGGAAATGAAGTTATGTTGAAGTCAGAGGGAATGCAAAGTTTACACCGTTTTCAGAAGAAATTATAGCTCGGCAATAAGAGAAACATTTTAATAAGTGCAGTAGTATGACTATCTTTTTTTTAAGAGAAAATTGGAACCATGCCATTATAATTTTGTAAAGTTTAAGATATGTCATCCTGACCCACATGTCATTGACTCATGTGGGTCCTACATGTCATTGAGATACCGATGGCATATCTTAAACTTTACAAAATTATAATGGCATGGTTCCAAATTACCCTTTTTTAAACAACCCACACAGAATAGTGCGACGTTTCTATTGATAAAGCAGAAGAAAAATACAAGTATATAATCTATAGACAGGGAAAAAAATATACATCCACACCACGCGTTTACGTCTGATCTTAATGCTAAATACAGGACAAGCACACAACACCCCTAAGAAATGGGTCTTCTAAACGACGCCTCCAAGGAGAAAACGACGCCAATAGCACTGTCGCCGCCCGTCTTAGAACAGGACGTGGTTTTCACCTGAAGAACCCACTGAGAGAGGAAAGAAAATGCAGCAACGCCCCAAGAGGAAAACGTCGCCCCCAGCCCGAAGGCTAGGCTCAGTAGTATGACTATCATATTTAATTTAATTAACTAAAGAAGAATAAAAGGTTTTCTTCGACCAACCCACGGCACTAAAAAGTGACAACGTTAGAAAACCCCAACAATGACATGAGGCAAAGGAGAAAGTAAAACAACAGTCAAAATTTGTAGGCTTCGTAGTATCAAACCCCTCATTTGTTATGAGAAATAATGCCTCGTATTAGTTTGATTTTAGAAAATTCTTAGAAAAAAGAAGCAGAAGTTCCATCGATCCATTTTCATGTGTCGAGCCAATTTTTTTTATGTTTTTTCTTAATTAAAACTAAAACTAATACACTAGTTAATCATGTAAGAATAGTCAAATATCTGTGACAATCTAGCACAAGCGAAGTGAGCAAGTAATCCAAGTAAACATCAAATAAGTCAACATTAGTCTACTCCTCGTCGTCATCGCCGTCGACCTCCTCTTCCGCCGCCGCCGTCGCCGCCGCCTTCCCTTTCGCCTGAGCCTTGTCGGCCTTGGCCTTCTCGAGCTCCTTGACCAACTCGGCGAGGCAGGTGTCGGCGTTGTCGCCGGCGGCCTTGGGCGTGAGGTTCTCGGCGACGTCGGCGGGGGTCATGTCGACGTCGCGCAGGAGCGCCCGCACGGCGTCGAACAGGTGGTGGGCGTCGATGCCGAGGTAGACCTTGGCGAGGAACTTGAAGGCCTCGAAGCCGCAGTAGGACATCTCGATGTGCTTGTCCATGCGGCCTCGCCGGATGAGCGCCGGGTCGAGCTTCTCGACGTGGTTGGTGGTGAACACGATGATGCGCTCGCCGCCGCACGCCGACCAGAGCCCGTCGATGAAGTTGAGCACGCCGGAGAGCGTCACCTTGCTTCCCTCCTTGTCCTTCTCCTCCTCCTCCGATGGCGGCGACTCCTTCTTGTCGCCGTCGGTGTCGTTCTTGGCGGCGGCGGCGTCCTTCTTCTTCTTGTTCTTGCGCTTGCCGGTGAGGTCGAGGGAGCAGTCGATGTCCTCGATGACGATGATGGACTTGCTGGTGGTCTCGATGAAGAGCTTGCGGAGGTCGGTGTTGGTGCGGACGGAGGTGAGCTCGATGTCGTAGATGTCGTAGTCGAGGTAGTTGGCCATGGCGGCGATCATGGTGGACTTGCCGGTGCCGGGCGGGCCGTGCAGGAGGTACCCCCGCTTCCACGCCCTCCCTACGCGCGCGTAGTACTCCTTCCCGTTCCGGAACGCGTCGAGGTCGTCCATGATGTCCTTCTTCCTCGCCGGGTCCATGGCGAGCGTGTCGAACGTCTTGGGGTGCTCGAACACCACGTGGCTCCACACGCTCTCGCACCACCCGCCGTCGTCCCCCCAGGTGTCGCCGGCGAGGTTGGTGAAGAGCTTGCGCTGCCGGTTCCTGACCATGGCGGCGCGGCCCTCGCGGCGGACGTGGGGGAGGTACTCGCCGAGGACGACGTCGCGGTCGCGCTCCAGGAAAGAGAGGCGGTAGAACCGCCGGTCGGCGCGGGCGGCGCGGCCGCCCCAGTAGAACCCGCCGCCGGCGTCGTCCTCCCGCGGCGGCGTCGAGTAGGCTAGCCACCAGACGGTGACGCCGCCGCGGAACACGTCGGCGACCTCCTCGCGGTCGGCCATGGAGAGGACGAACGCGTCGGGGTTCTTGGCCGGCTCGGCCCGGAGGTGGCGGACGCCGGCGGAGGCGTCGCAGGTGGCGCGGTGGAGGTAGGCCTGGACCTCCCTGTAGGCGTCGCTCCGCTTCATCCGGCCGCCGTCGTGCTCGGCGACGGTGACGGTGAGGTAGGGGTCGACGACGGCGGCGAGGCGGCGGGCGTGGCGGGCGAGGTGGCGGCCGACCAGGTGGTGCAGCTGCAGCGACTGGAGGCTGTTCCACACCACGGTCCACAGCACGGCGGCGAGGCTCAGCACGATGCCGGAGTTGACGCTGCTCCACGCCGACGCCGCCTGCGAGGCCTCCATGGCCGGCGCCTCCGAGCTCTGTGTGCCACAGTGTGCGGTGTCTCTCTCTCTCTGGATTGGGTGTGAATTTATAGAGGGGGTTGCTCTGCTCTGCTCTGCTCTTCGTTTTGGTTGCTCTGTTTGTTTTTGAAGTGTTGGTTTTGAACTTTTTCTTTCTTTCTTTTTTGTTTTGAAAAAGTTTTGGGCGAGTGGTCATGGGCAGAGACGTTTTTGACCATCTTGTGTGGATGAAGGAGTACACAAAATGAATCTTGGCAAGCAAGTATCTTGCTCCGTTTGCTTCAGGCGGTTGGGAAAACGAAGCAGTACATTAACGTGTGATTAATTAAATATTTGCTAATTTTTTTAAAAAAAATAGATTAATTTGATTTTTTAAGCAATTTTTGTATAAAAATTTTTTACAAAAGACACACCGTTTAGCAGTTTAAAAAAGGTGCGTGCGATAGACGAGAGAGAGGAGTTGGGAACCTGCTCAAACTAACAGAGCCGCATATGCTACTACATGGTCAGAGAAATATTTGTTGGACCTGAGGTGTTTGGTCGGTGAATGATGGATGGACCTAAATTGATGATAATTATTTGAGGGTATAAAGGAATGAGCAAGATATTATAGAGTTAAAATGGTTGATTTTAAATAGTTCGATGAGAAATGCTTGATGATTTTTGTTTTGGCAAAATTCGTAGCAGTTAATGGCTTAAAATGTATGCCCGTAATAATTCATCGCCCATTCCCTAAAAAAATACAATAGTGATAGAAAGTAACTAGTGCTAAAGTAGATATGGTTTTTTAGGTGCTAAAGTAACTAGTGCATGTTATTTTGGTATTTTCCCTGTAGCAATGGCAGGTAGAAGCACAGGGAGGATTATTTTGTGAGTAAATTTTACAAAACTGCAGTTTTTTTTATCAAACTATCACAAAACTATATATTTAAGGCGTTGTATCACAAAACCACAGATTTAGCACCATGTTTATCATAAAACTATAGATTTAAGGTTAAGTATCACAAAACTGCATATTTAATATTGAAGTTACCACAAAACTACAGCTTTTAGAGTTTAAATTCATAGCACCATTATTATGCTGCAGCTATAAACATTATTGTTTTGTGACTAAATTAGTTCTAAACCTGTAGTTTTGTAATAATTTAGTTACTAAACATGTAGTTTTATGACACATCATCTTAAATGCATAATTTTGTGATAAATTTAGTGTTAAATGTGTAGTTTTGTGATACACTGAGTTAAATATGTAGTTTTGTGATAGTTTGATCATAGTATATGCAGTTTTATAAAATTTATTCTTATTTTGTTGCATCATGTGATTCAGTTATTGATTTTTTTTATCGGATGGCTATAGGCAATTCTTAAATGCTATGAATTGTCCGTCCTTTATGGCCTTGTTTAGTTCTAAATTTTTTCTTCAAACTTCCAATTTTTCCATCACATCAAAACTTTCTGTAATATCGAATCACACGAACTAAGCCAACCAGAGGGGGGGTGAATGGTTGGTATACCCAAAAACCGAAAACTTTTAGCGGAAATAAAAGTTACCCTCAAAATCGATGGAGATCGATCTGACCGAGATTGATCTGCCGGTCTGACCACGCTCGCGTCGTCGGTCTGACCGGTGTTGATCACTCGGTCCAACCGCCTGAAGATTGCCTGCTGCGTGTGAAGTCGTCGCCGGTCTGACCGCCGGTGTGTCGCCGGTCTGACCGCCGGTGAGTCACCGGTTAGACCGTCGAAACCCGGTGAAACACAAATCGAAGAACTCTCAAAGTAGATGACAACTTTATTGCTTCTCTCTGTGTTTACAAAGTGCACCAACAGCACTCCTTATAAAAATCTCGACTAAACTCGAAACCCTAACTAAACTAGCAACTCAATTGCTCTCAAAAGCGATACAAAAGAGATACCGGGAAGCCTCACGCTCCCCCTCTATTTATACATGAGGTAGGCAGCCTAAAGCCACGAACCAAACTCATACTAAGAGTCCTAAACACCTTAGGAAACCCTTTAGTACAAGAAAGAAACTTTACATAACCAATCGTACCAAATTTGGACTCCTTCCAAATTCGACTCCACATCCCATACGCACACAATACCTCCATCGTATGCCATATGGAATCTCCATCAACCACGTGCATCAACTCTAGCCTAAGTATCCCGCATAATCTCCGACCACCACGGACATCGTCTTACCACCAAGCCGACTCCTGGTCCATCACCACAAATACTCTCCCGAGGCATCGAGTCACCTACACATGAAACAAACAAAGAAACCATATTCCGAGACCAAGCTATCCCCAACTTGACTCATTAGTAGCAAACAACAGTATTACATACGTATAGAATCCATCTAGAAGCCATAACCATGAAACAATCACGGATATCCAAAGAAACAACCCGAAATCGAAACCGACACAGCGTCGGCCGGTCAGACAGCGGGCCTGGCCGGTCTGACCGCACACATAGCACCGGTCTGACCGACAACCTCCGCCCGGTCGGACCGGTCACATAAAATAACAGTGAATCCGATCATCACCTGAAAAACCACTTCGACGATAATCTCCAAATATCAAAACCAATAATCACAGATGCCAATTGTTCATCACAGAATAAGAATCAAAACACACGTTGATCTTACACTTTCTCATACACATAAACTTTCAACTTTTCTATCACATTGTTCCAATTTCAACCAAACTTTCAATTTTGGCGTGAACTAAACACACCCTATATTAGAATCTTTAGACTCTACTACATAGGATCCCTATTCCATGTGTGGATGGGGTTTGAGGTTTTCTTGGAGTTATGGTTGGTATTGGATCATAGTTTCAAAGAAATTCATGCACGAGTCGCTCTCTGTAGTTTGAGAAATAAATATATCTTTGAAGAATTTAACCTCCCTATAAAAGGAATCCACAAAGAAAAAATGTTGTATGATTTAGTTCAACTGGACGCGAGTGTATTTGAACATTGTTGCTCTCTGGATCAATGATATGGGTGTAGTATGTCAATTTCTCGTTAAGTGACACCTTTCACCTTTTTTTTTTGTCTTTTAAATGAAACTATTTTTTGTTGTAATATGCTTTTGAAGTATCATCAATCATAATATGGTGAATTACCAAAGTATATTTGGAGACGAAAACCTATAATCATATAACAGCTTGCCTATGCGTAAATCAAAAAATTAGTTGAATATGACAGTTATATGTATGTGTTACAAACAAATCCAAATCTCAAAGTGATGCCCTTCTCTTTTCTTTATTTGCCACTAATTATCTATTTTCCCTCGTTGTACCATTATATCCTTGTCGACGAGAGAAACCAACTCCACCTACCACCCTCGCTACTTCTGTTTTCCGCAATCTATAAGCTTTGTCGAATTCACCTCCACCACCCATGTCGTAATCATCATCTGCCTCTCAAATGAAATGGAAATGGTAATATTGGTCGTAATAGTGATGACACCTTGGAGAAGAAGAAAAAGAAGAGGAGACTGAGCACATGGTAGAAGAACAAGAATAAACTTTTTATGAAAGGGGAAACAAGCAGACAAAATAATAAGAAAAAAGAGGGTGGTTTGAAGACCAAGTGGAATCCACGCAGATGATGTGCATCCATGCATGCTTTGGATATTTCAGGAGGATAAAACAATGTGACAGTTGGATCGGCATGGAAAAGGTGCTGTGTACTTCGCATGGAAGATTGGTTCGGATGCTAAATGTTTTTTGTCACGGACTCACGGTTAATTAACTTTTTCATTCATAAGATAATCTCATGGATCGTAGCTTACTTTGCACGCGTCGTTTTCTGCTAAACACCTTTTCTTTGCTTTAGTTTTGTCAGGATACAACAAACCCCAGCAAGCTCTCCTGCATCTTTCCCAGAAAAAAATAATTTATTTTCTTTTCAGTTGGAATACGATGCCTGAAGAAATGTTACTCGAGAGGGTTGCCAGGTAGCACCACAAATGCATTAGCGCAATTCAAAACTTCACACAATTTTTCATCGTCGTGATATTACTCTACTATTTTTCACCCATAGGGCGTGTTTGGAAAATAAGTTAGGGGAGGTGGGATTGAGAAATAGAAATAAATGAAGAGATATAATGAAATGGGGTGAGAAAAATGAATGGCTAAGATTAAAACTTACCCTTTGAGAAGTGGGAAATCATATCCCAAACCCATTTTTCAAATACAACCATAGTATCTCAACTGTCGTCTACCACCTCCAACATTCCAGCTTTCCTGCATAATCCCCCATGTCTTTGTCCTTCTATTCTATTTCCTTCGTCCTAAAATATAAGAAATATTTTTTTTAGTACTACGAATCTGGATAGACAGTCTAAGAAATATTTCACTTGATTCTAAGTTATTATATTTTAGAATTTAGAGAGTACATTAGTTAGAAAGTAAAGCGAGTAGCAACCACCATGCAAACAAATGAGGAGAGGAAGAAGGGTAGAAAGACAATTTGATGTGCGATCATGGAGATGATATTTTCACACACATGCATCGTCATCGACCACCTTAATTAGCCATTTCATCGGCGTGTCACGTCCTCGACCTATACATACAAAATGGTCGGACTTTCGTGGAAAGGTGATACTCTGTAGTGTACTTTCTCCGAAGCGATCTCAATCAAGTCTATTTCAGTCTGCATTCTCCGTCAAAAGGGTCGGCTCACACTTTCAGATTCGGTCTTGGCCAATGACCGGTAATTGGGGTTTAGCCATGTGATTATAGACAGATGACATGATTAAACTATACGGTGGTGGCCATGGACGCGTATATGGTGTCACTGTACACGTCAACTAAACCTTGATTATCTGCTCTTCTTTCTGCTTGCTTTTGTCAGGCTAGTCGTGTGGGTCGACAAACTATCCCGTTCTTTTCCATTTAATATGTAAATTTCTTTTCTCGATTTTCGTTAGCAAGTTTTTTAAACTGTTAAACGGTATATATTTTAGAGAAAAATATCAAATAAATCTATTTTTAAGTTTGTAAAAAATAAAACAAATTAATTATACATTAATAATTTTCTTGTTTTATGTGCCCTTACTT